ATTTCTTCTACTAACACCTTTTTAAATCTTTTGGCCAAAATGTCTGCAAAAATTTTATAATCCACATTTAGCAGTGATATGGGGCGGTAGTTTTTGAGCTGTGTCTTTTCAGTCTCTGTTTTCGGTATAAGTGTAATATAAGCTTCCTTCCACGACTCTGGTGCCTTTCTTCCTTCCAATACTTCATTACAGACTTCCTTCAATGGTTGTATTAACCAATCTTTCAAAGATCTGTAATATCTTGAAGTCAAACCATCTGGTCCTGGAGATTTACCTAATTGCATGTTCTGGATAGCCCCTTCCACCTCCTGATCTGTTATTTTGTAGTTCAACATTAGTTGTTTTTCCTGAGAGATTTTGTGTAGTCCATTTATTTTCAAAAATTGATCAATATCCATTTCTTTCTGCTTCTCCTGTGCATAAAGTTGTTTGAAATACCTCTGGAAACACTTCCTAATCTCCACTGGGTTCTGTATATTTTTTCCTTCCACTTCCAAATTCGTGATAGTATTGAGTTTTTGTCCTTTTTTCATTTGCCAGGCCAACAATTTCCCACATTTATTTGCCGATTCAAATGTCTTTTGCCTCATCTGTTTAATCTTCCATTCTATTTCCTGATTCATCAGCTTCGCATATTGTACTTGATATAACTTTATCTCTTTCAGAATCTCCTGTGACTTTGGTTTTGCTCTCAGTTTCTTCTCTCCTTCCCCTATTTTTCCCAGGATTTTGTCCTTTTTTTCATTCTGAGTTCTCTTCTTAATTGCATTCTGTTGTATTAGGAATCCTCTCATAACCGCTTTGCTTGCATCCCAAATTACTCTTTTTTCCACTGTAGTGTTCATGTTTATCTCAAAGTAATCTCTTAGGGTTTTTTGGGCCTTATTGGTCACCTCTTCATTCCTAAACAAAGTGTCATTCATCCTCTATCTGAAGGAACCACTTGGCATCAATTTCATTTCCATCTTCACCGCATTATGGTCAGAACAAGTTTTGGGGCAGATCTCCACTTTGCTGATCTTCGGAGCCAATCCCCTGGTTACCCAGATTTGGTCAATTCTTGTCCATGTCATTTTAGCCTCAGAGAAGAAAGTTCCCTCTCTTCCCAGAGGGTTCTTCATTCTCCAAATATCAACTAAGTCCATATTTTCAGTCATGTCAAAAAAGGTTTTTGGTAGTCTACCATCTTTGGTGACTACCTGTCTCTGTGCCTTATCCATATTTGTAGACACCACTCCATTCATATCTCCCATCAGAATCATATTATAGTCCATATAATCCATCAGGGTCTCATGTAACTTCTTAAAGAATTCCGATTTTCCTTCGTTTGGTGCATAGATACCTAAAATCAAGAATTTCTCTCCTTGTGATTGAATTTCAATTGCTACAAATCTTCCTTGGTCGTCTTTAAATGAAAATTTCGGTGATAGGCTCTCCTTTGCATAGAGGACCACTCCTCTTTTTTTAACTTTGTCTGATGAAATGAATTCTTGGCCCAATCTTTTATTACTCAATATCTTCCTGTGTAGCCTTATCACATGTGTTTCTTGTAAACAAATCAAGTCCAAATGTTCTTTTTTCAATAAATGAAAGACTCTTCGCCTTTTTTCTGGGGAATTTAGTCCATTCACATTCCAGCTCGAGACCTGCAGTGCCATCATGTGGTTACGCTGATGTTCCTCCAACTGCACCCAATGCTTGCTCTTCTTATGTTGGTAGTAATGGTGGCACGTTCACTGAGGAGTCCAATCCAAAAGACAATGTTGATATGTCCAATATTCCCGTTTGGTGATCTTCTATCCGATGCTCTCTGCTCTAGTGCTCTATCTGGTGATCTTCTGTCCGATGCTCTTGGCTCTTTTCCAGATCCCTTCTGCAGATCTTCCTTGTATTTGTACAAAAACTTCGCTTTATCCTCTGCTGATCTTATTTTTATTTTCCTACCTTTGAAACTGAAAGATAAACCTTGGGAAACTCCCACCTGAAGATAATTTTATTCTTTCTCAGCAGGGCAACAATATCTCCGTAATCAGGCCTAAAATCCAAAAGATATTTCGGGACGTCTTTAAAAATTACCACTCTTGACTGTTGTACTTCTAAATTCTTCTGGTAATGCCAACCCAAAATTCTGTCTCTCTCTTCTTTAGTTCAAAGGGTAATCAAGCAGTCTCTTATTGTATTCTTCTCTTTTTTCCCTCCTCTTCCAAGTCTGAAGGCCCTCACAATTTTAAACTCTTCTTGTCCCACGTCCAAGTCCCAAAAGTTAGCAAATTCCTGTGTAAGAAAGTCTATCAAGCTTTCCTTCTCAGATTCAGGTAGACCTCTAATTCTCAGATTCGTCTGTTTTTCTTTAAGTTCAATCATAGCAAGCGTCAATTTGTGTTCATCAAGTTGCCTCTGTAGGGCTGGGACTCTCTCTCTCTCCAATTGTGTTACTTTACATTCAGCAGCAGCTGCTTTCTCCCTAGCTTCCTCCGCAGTCTGCCGTATCAAAGTGGATTCCTGTATCAATTTCTGAATGGTTTCTGTATTGGTATTCACCTTTAGTCCCAGATTGTTTATGCTTTCTGTATTTAAATTGATTTTATTAGTTGCAGCATCCACTTTCTTATTAAGCTGTTCCAATGAGTCATTTATCTTACTTAATGCAACCGCTAGTACCTCTTCTGGTAGCATTCCTTTTTATTTTGGTTGTGCTGATATAGGCACAGCAGCAGCCGGAGGAAGAGGGTCTGGTATTGAACTTCTCCTGGGTTGCTGCCTAATCTTCCCAGACCTTAATGTTTTTCAGCAGTTGGCAGATCTATTTTTTCCTTTCCATTTGCCATAACACTTAAAAAATTCAAGGTCAGTCCCAGAGTCTCACAGTTTCTTATCTTGCAGCTGGAAATTCCCCTGGCCCCACTCTTGTAAAACAACCAGTTTCAAAAGCTTCCACTAGGGGGAAACAGTTTCTATTTATGTTACTTGTATTGATCAATAATGTCCTCTTTTAAACACAGTTCAAACATCCAAAGTTAGTTTCAGTTTTCTGTTACTATTTATTCCTTTTTAGAAACAGCCAGAGACTGTAGAAACAATGTATTTCTCTTACTTAGCTAGCTGTCAGTGAACGTTCTATATGCTGTCAATGGACATTCCAAAAGACATCAGTCCAACTAGCAGCCCGTTTCCAGGGTCAGAGCGGCAGTATTCTAACTCTCTTCACTCTCTCCTGCAGGTATACTCAGTCCACAACTCCCCCCCCTTCTCCTGCCCCCAAAGGGGGGTTAAATGTTCTTTACCGTTGAAATTTTAGTCTTTTACAAAGGTCTTTCCAAGGCTTCAGCTTACAGCCTTTTTGCTTCAATCTATTTACAAAAAGGGAAGGCGGACTTCCTGTATTGAACCTCCCCGCTTCGATACCAAATTATACGTTTAGAAATCTGATTCTCCCGTTTCAGCTCTACTCACGGGTAATTGCTTTAGATTCAAATTGTCCACAGGAAAAAGTCAGCGCTCTCCGGCAACAGCTATGTGGCTTCGCTCCATGGAAGAAGCAGACTATTCGAAGCACCGCGCCACTCACCCCACGTCGCTCCGGAGCACCGAAATCGGGTTTCCCCGTGAGTAGGGGAGGCGCAAAAGGTGCCCGCCGAATCCCACGTTCACAGGCTTCTCCCGCCTGTGATTTTTTGCGGGTCTCCGCCTTCGCCATGGTGGTCAGACCCAATTTCCCACGGGGCAAATTCCTCCCGGTCAGAGGAATTCAGCCATTGCCAATGGCGCCAACCCGGAAGTTCGCAAAACACTGGTCAGTAGACCTTGATCTTTCTTGTTGCCCAACAGGTCCCCACAGGAGCATGAACCCAGAACAAAGGATTACCTTGACTTTTAACCAGAATACATTTCACAGGGCATCATGAATCGGTCCATATTACATCACAAAGGAGGAGGGGATATAAGATATACACAAGTTCAGCAGGGGCCAGACACCGCTCCCAACACCTCTTAAGTAAGGTAAAGGTAAAGGTACCCCTGCCCGTACAGACCAGTCGTGTCCGACTCTGGGGTTGCGTGCTCATCTCGCTCTAGAGGCCATGAGCCGGCGCCGTCCGAAGACACTTCCGGGTCACGTGGCCAGCGTGACGAAGCTGCAGCTGGCGAGCCAGCACCAGCGCAGCACACAGAAACGCCGTTTACCTTCCCGCTATAAAGCGGTCCCTATTTATCTACTTGCACTTAAGAGTGCTTTTGAACTGCTAGGTGGGCAGGAGCTGGGACTGAACGACAGGAGCTCACCCCGCTGCGGGGATTCAAACCGCCATACGATCGGCAAGTCCTACACACTGAGGTTTTACCCACAGCGCCACCCGCGTCCCTTTAACCTCTTAAGTACCCATCACCAAAAGAACAATAAAACCTTTGGCATCTCCTTGCCCTCAGGACTTGTCCGGAGATGGGCTTTCAGAACACGTGACTTTCTAAATTGCCTCTGTGGATGTCTATTGTTGCCCCCCCCGTCACTCCCTGGGTGGGGGGCCATGTATGTGCTCTCAGGTTGGGGAAAGATGCCCTCTTCCTACTGCCAACGTGACTTCCTGCTTCTTGGTTCATGGAGGGAAGTGGAGCCCAAATTCACCTTTCTTGCAGGGTTAAAATGGCATTGGAATGAGGAGAGTCGGTTAAAGTATGGATTTTCTACGAATTTATAAAGCTAGGTATCTTCCCTGCGCTGTCAAGTCAAAAGCATACATTCAGGGCTAATATTCGTACCATTGCAATAACTATAAAGATGCCCCCCCCCGTCATTTCCGTAACATGGGTAAGTGAACTCATATTTGAAACAATGCAGACGCAGTCAAGAAGGATTTTTCTCTAGTGTTTCATTCAGCCTCACCTGAATAAACACTTAGATTATGTGAAAATAATGGGCGATACCGTTTTATTTATTTATTTTCATGGTATAAAAGATAATTTTAAAGAAAGCAATGGTTACAACAGTAAACAACAAATAGCTTGTCCTCATGGAATTGCAGACTTTCATCGTGCCATGTGTTAAAGTTTCAGTTGATTATTCTAAAAGATCACGCCACATTTTCCCACGAGTGCTGGGTAGATTCCGGCAACAGTCTTCACAATTTATGTATTCAATAAACATTGGCCACATGTTATAAAAGGAATACGGATTGTGTTCCCCCACCTTTTGGATACTTAAATTGTGATGCCCAGAACTGAACACAGTATTCTAGGTGGGGCCTGACCAAGGCAGAAGAAAGTGGTACTATTCCTGCCCTTGATCTGATTCTGCCTTCTGCCACGTTGGCCTCCCCTCCCCGTTTGGTGTCCTCTGCAAATGTGATGAGCATCCTCTCAGTTCCTTCATCCAAGTCATTTATAAAGATGCTGAACAACAACGGGCCCAGGACAGAACCCTGCAGCACCCCAGGATAATAAGGAACCATGAAGGAGTCCTCTTTGGGTTCGGTCAGTCAAATCCGCCTAACAGTTTCCTCGTTCAGCCCACATTTTACCAGCTTTCTCACAGAAAGATCACGGGGGGCTTTGTCAAAATCCTTACTGAAATCAAGACGCACTATTTCTACAGCAGTCCACTGATCAAAAAAGTTTGTAACTCCATCCAAAAAAAGGGGATTTCTCTGGCTTTACTTGCTTTTGAAGGTGATTTATGTAATTATTTAATTTGTATACCACCCAACCCAGTGGTGCCAACTTGAATAAAATATTGGTGGAAGGGGCCAGGTAAGGCCTGCCTTGCACAATCAATCACATGATGCATGCAGGTCATTGGAATGGCAATGCCTATCAACTGGGGGGGGGGTGGCCCCCTCAAATATATCATTGGGGGGGCAAAAACCCCTCAGCCTCTAAAAGTTGACTCCTGCTCCCACATGTCTCAGGACGGTTACAACATAAAAAGACAACATAAAAACACAAAATACACATCTGTAACCCCCCTCACTACCACATTTTAAAAGGGCATTAGATGTCAATTAGGCAAAGGCCTGGTTAACAAGGTGCGAATTTGCCTGGCTCCTAAAGCTTTTAAATGGTTTTTCCAACCGTTGCATGAATTCTCTGATGGGATGTGAGACCGAAGGTCTTCCTGAAGCTCTTTCCACATTCCATACACTGATAGGGTTTCTCCCCTGTATGAATTCTTTGATGCTTAGTGAGTTTGGAGCTGCTACTAAAGCTCTTTCCACATTCAAAGCACTTATATTATTTCTCCCCTGTATGAATTCTTTGATGGGTATTCAGATGTGCTCTCTGACTGAAGCTCTTTCCACATTCCATGCAGTGATAGGGTTTCTCCCCTGTATGAATTATCTGATGCTTAGTGAGATTGCAGCTCATACTAAAGCTCTTTCCACATTCCACACACTGATAGGGTTTCTCCCCTGTATGAATTCTCTGATGGGAAGTGAGATGGGAACTCGTACTGAAGGTCTTTCCACATTCCATGCACTGTAAGGGTTTCTCCCCTGTATGAATTCTCTGATGGGAAGTGAGATGGGAGCTCTGACTGAAGCTCTTTCCACATTCCATGCACTGATAGGGTTTCTCCCCTGTATGAATTCTCTGATGGGATATGAGCTGAGCTTTCTGCCTGAAGCTCTTTCCACATTCCACACACTGATAGGGTTTCTCCCCTGTATGAATTCTCTGATGGGAAGTGATGTGGGAACTCGTACTGAAGGTCTTTCCACATTCCACGCACTGATAGGGTTTCTCGCCTGTATGAATTCTCTGATGGGAAGTGAGATGGGAGCTGTCCCTGAAGCTCTTTCCACATTCCACGCACTGATAGGGTTTCTCCCCTGTATGAATTCTCTGATGGGAAGTGATGTGGGAACTCGTACTGAAGGTCTTTCCACATTCCACGCACTGATAGGGTTTCTCGCCTGTATGAATTCTCTGATGGGAAGTGAGATGGGAGCTGTCCCTGAAGCTCTTTCCACATTCCACACACTGATAGGGTTTCTCCCCTGTATGAATTCTTTGATGGGAAGTGAGATGGGAGCTCATACTGAAACTCTTTCCACATTCCACACACTGATAGGGTTTCTCCCCTGTATGAATTCTTTGATGTTTAGTGAGATCGGAGCTGCTACTGACTCTCTTTCCACATTCAATGCACTGATAGGGTTTCTTTCCAATGAGATTTCGTTGATGGGAACTGGAATGGGAGCTCTGACTGCAGCTCTTTCCACACTCCAAATTTTTATTTGCCTTCTCCACTCTGCAGATTGTGTTGTGGTCACCTTTGTTCTTGATTTCCAATTCGTCACAATCTGCAATGGAGAGAAAAGGGATTAGAGCCTCAGGAACAAATGGATCCCCCAGTTAGGGAATAATGCTCATTAAATTTGTTGTAGAGAAGGCAGTGTTCATTACCTTTGCTATTTGTAATAAACCAATGTATTTATTATTGGGTTCTAATCGTTGGCTGAATGTTGCTTTGTTTGAAGTAAGTAACTCATTTTAAATTTTTTGTACTTTTTGTAAAATTTTTGTACTTTTTTCATTGGATTAGATGCTATTATTACTGTTTCATGTTTATACAGTAGCACCTCGGGTTACGTAACCCTCGGATTATATAAACATCAGCTTATATATTATATAATTATATAATTATATATAATATAATTATATGATTATATAAACAACATTATGATAGCGACAAATCCATGAGCATGCGCAGAACAGTGATCCTCGGGTTGCGAAATCCTCGGGATCCGGCCGGACCTCCGGAGCGGATCCCATTCGCAACCAGAAATACGACTGTATATGTGTTGGAAGCTTCCCAGATTGGCTGGAGCAACCCGGCCAGATGGTCAGCGTATAAATAAAAATTATTATTATTGCTATTATTATCACTGCTACTACTACCTGAGATTCAATCAGCCTGGCTCTTCTCTGGGGCAGATGTTGTTTGGCCCAGTCCTGGCATCCCCTCCATCTCCAATGTCATTTGTCTCTTTGGTCAACCCAAGACTGACAGCAGCAAAAACAAAAACAGAAAAGCTGACAGAAGCTACATATCTTTTCTAACAACTCTGAAGCTGACATTTAATATGGCCTGGGCAGTTCAGACCAGCCCAATTGTGGTATAAAAAGGCAGAACTGGAGGAAGATTGTTCACAGAAAAAACTGTAATTTATTATTTCATGTGGGGGTGTTAGGTTCCAGGTGTTGTAATGGGCGCTGTGAAAATATATGAGGTTTGTCACATAGAGGTATTTTTTGAATTTCCAGGCAGATAGGACGATCCCACAGGGAGCCTTACCAAGAGAGGCCACGATCCCACAATTCTCCTCCATGACGTCGTTATGCAGAGCTCTCTGGTTAGGATCCAGCAACGCCCACTCCTCGTCCGTGAAACGAACAGTGACATCTTCAAAGCACACTGGACCCTGAAAGAAAAAGGGAAATGTCCTCCTCTGAGACAGCAGAAATATGATCTGCTACACAATGCTCTGTGGTTTTCTTCCTGTTAATTGCTGTGTTATTTCAATAGGATTGCTTTGCTGCACATTTTAATTATGGGTACCTATTTTAACGGTTTAATTGAATTCTTTTATTCTGCATTTTAACTGTGGGTATTCGTCTTTGTCCAAATAGGTGGTACTCCAGCTTATGTTTACGTTATTCTGCCTATGCAAGCATCCCAGTTTCCCCGATGGAAGGATCCACTTTCTCCTCTCCTCGTGAGTTGTTCTGGAGAGGTTCCCTCCCAATGCCCTAGAGCCAAATTCAAGGGGTTCATGGGGGCATGGAGAGGGGGAGGAGTGGGGGGCAGGCCCCATTTTGCAGCGGATAGGGCTGGCTAGGTGAATCTTGGCCACTATTTGTTCTCGTCTGTCCGCTGCTTAGAAGCCTATTTTAGCACTCATTGATGAATATAGAAATACAAGAAGCCTAGTCTGGATGGCCATCTGTCTTGGGTGATCTAGCTGAGACTCCTGCAATGCAGGGGGTTGGGCTTGATGACCCTTGGGGTCCCTTTCAACTCTAGGATTCCATGGAAACTGCAACTACAGATGAATCCTACTGGCAACATTCAGAAGGCTGGTGTCACAGAGTTACCGTATTTTTCACTCTATAACACGCACCTGACCATAACACGCACATAGTTTTTAGAGGAGGAAAACAAGAAAAAAAAAAATCTGAAAGAAACAGTGGATGTATCATTTTTGTGCTTCATGCTGTGGCCACAGACATGTGATTTGACGGTGAGTTTGGGGTAGCCCAATGCAAAAATCCTGAGAATTCCATGTGGATCTGTGCTTTGTAACCACGTTTTTGCACCATTGCAGCCCCAGGCAACAGTGGGTGTGTGATTTTTTGGTGCAGGCTGTAGCCATGGACATGCTATGTGATCTGATGGTGAATTTGGGGTGACCGAGTGCAAAGATCCTGAGGATCCATGTGGATCCGTGCTTTGTAACCACGTTTTAAGTGGGGAGGGAAGGAAAAACACAGAAGGGACAAAGAGCACGAGAGGGGTGTGCAGCTAGCTAACAATGCAGGAGAGGGGTTTAACAGGAGGGAGGAAAGGAAGGCAAAAGTTTCCCCCCACCCACTCAAGCCAGCCCTCTCTCTCTGTCTCCCTCCCCCCTGCATATTTTCCGGCTGCCTGCGAGTCCCTAGAATGCTGAAAGCAGCAGCAGCAGCACGGAGAGGAGGCTGTTGGGTGAGCTCCTAGAGCCTGCGCACAGTGTGACTAGGAAGGAATTAGAAGGAACAACGCGATTCTTTCCTTTCCCCTCTGCTTGCCAGGAGGGCAGGGGATTTCCCTGCTCTTTGTTGCGTTTGAGCAAAGACAGGAACCAAAAACAGAAGAGGGTGGGCAGTAAGACCCTGAGGCAGAATGCAGGAAAGCAGCAGCCTCGCTTCTGAAGCCTTCCCTCCCTTCCCTCCTCCGCGACGCGCGATCTAAATTTTGCCTGAAATTTGCTCCTGCACTCGGGCCAGTCGGCTCCAGGGACCACAAATTCGCTCAATAACACGCACAGACATTTCCCCTTACTTTTTAGGAGAAAAAATGTGCGTGTTATAGAGTGAAAATTACAGTATATGGGCAGGAAATCCCACAGTTCACAGTTGGAGTTGACTCTTTATCAGCAAGAACACGATGTTCACAGACTTGGCTGAGTTTCGGGCCTCTTGAGAACAGCAGCTCATTCCCTGAGCCTCTTCCTCCACAAAAGCAGTTGCTGAGAATGAAGGCCCCTGGCTCCCCACAGCTTTCCAAGTCCCCTCCTCTCTGGGGTTTCTGGCAAGCGATTGAACAGTGCGCCAGTGTGCAGCCTGCCTTTGCTCCTCCATGTTAGACCTCTCTTGGCTCTGAGAGACAAGCAGGGAGGGTGGCTTCTGGCAGAAGGAGAGGGAGCCCCCAGTGGCTCCTCCTTCTCCTGACTCACCTCTGCCTCTCGACCTTCCTCCTCCCACTCGCCTCCTTCCTCTTCTGCCTCCGATTCTGGACTGCATTCTGCCTCAGAGTCTCCCAGCTCACTAAGCCCTGTTATCCCTTCAGCTTCTGACACCTCCTCTTCCCAGGCTTCTCCCTCTGACCGCTCATCCTTCCTCCACCTCCACTCCTTGGGCTGAGACATCTTCCCTTCCTGGTTCCCCGGCTGCTTCCTCCCACCATTCCTCTGTGCCCAACCAGTCCATGACATTGCTCCATCCCTCGGCCTCTGTCCCCACAAGGCAGCTTCCCCTGACCTGATCTGGTTCCACAGCCGCTGTTTCTCTTCTGCCCCCATGAAAAGATGGATCAGGAGGTTTTGCCAGCATCATTCCGTCACCTGCAAGAGAAAAAACGTAAGCAGGATGCAAGGAATGCCCATGTCTCTCACAGGTGAAACAGGGCATCTCTAACTACAGATGGGCCTTTCAGAAAGCCTTACCTGCTGAGTGCAGTTAGACGTTTGTGCCCATTTCATATGTTAGTTGTGCAAAATTACTACTCCCTTCCTTTGGACCCTTTTTCCCAACTGTCCCCCCCCCCCCCAAAAAAAAGAACTCACAGATTAGTTGGAAAACCAACAGAACGAGACCAAACGGAGAAAAGCCACCTTCCTCCTTACCCAGTGGCCTCTCTCTGGTGTCCAACGGAGGCCTCTCTGCCTCACAGGAATCCAGGTCCATTTCTGCAAAATGATCCGTTTTCTGAAAGAGCAACAAGGATTCAAAACAGAGAATGAATGGCGAGAAATGTTAGAAAGAGAATGACAAAGACAGAAGCTTTAAGGGTGTTAGATCTCATTCCATGGATGCCTTCCTAGGAAAAAAATGCGCCAACAGTAGAGCATTATGGGATTTTCTCCATCCTGTTTGGAGCCCCTTAGGAGTATCCAGAGCAAAGTCTCTCTCACCTGCTTTCTCTCCTCTGCCTGACTCAGGAGGAAACCTTCGGCCAGGGCCACCGCCTGGGAACTGGTCTCCGCTCCACAGTCCCTCACCCAGCTCTCCATCTCCGGAGGAAGGACAGCCAGGAACTGCTCCAAGATCACCAGGTCCAGCATCTCAGCTTTCGTGTGCCTTTCTGGCTTCAGCCATTGGTGGCAAAAGTGGTAGAGTCGGCTGCAAACTTCTCGGGGTCCTTTGGCCTCCTGGCAGCAGAACTGCCTCAACTGCTGGCTCTGCACCTCTGAGCGGAGGGTGTCCTCCTCACCCAGGATCTTCTGCCCAGAGTTTTCCCAGAATCCCCCACTGCTCCCAGTTTGGATGGCATGGCCTCTTCCTGCTCCAGGGCCAGCTGAGTCTTGCTCATCCATCTGTGCTCTCAGGAAGTCTCTAAGAGATTGGAAGGAACCCTTTGGTCTTCTGCCAAGTTCTGCCTGTGCTAATGAGGTGCTAGCAAATCCTACAAAGCAAATACATTGTTTAGTTACAGAATTTTTAGGTCAGAAGAAGAGAAATGTTCCTTGAGCAAGCACGGATGAGGAACCAGGGTGTGACGATTCTGGGCTGCATCAATAGGAGTACAGCATCTAGATCAAGGGAAGTAATAGTGCCACTGTATTCTGCTCTGGTCAGACCTCACCTGGAGTACTGTGTCCAGTTCTGGGCACCACAGTTCAAGAAGGACACTGACAAACTGGAACGTGTCCAGAGGAGGGCAACCAAAATGGTCAAAGGCCTGGAAACGATGCCTTATGAGGAACGGCTAAGGGAGCTGGGCATGTTTAGCCTGGAGAAGAGGAGGTTAAGGGGGTGATATGATAGCCATGTTCAAATATAGAAAAGGATGTCACATAGAGGAGGGAGAAAGGTTGTTTTCTGCTGCTCCAGAGAAGCGGACACGGAGCAATGGATCCAAACTACAAGAAAGAAGATTCCACCTAAACATTAGGAAGAACTTCCTGACAGTAAGAGCTGTTCGACAGTGGAATTTGCTGCCAAGGAGTGTGGTGGAGTCTCCTTCTTTGGAGGTCTTTAAGCAGAGGCTTGACAATCATATGTCAGGAGTGCTCTGATGGTGTTTCCTGCTTGGCAGGGGGTTGGACTTGATGGCCCTTGTGGTCTCTTCCAACTCTATGATTCTATGATTCTATGACTGTACGAAACCATGAGATATCTTCTGAAGAAGAAGACGGAGGAGGAGGAGGTGGAGAGGAGAAAAAGTAGAAGAGGAGGAGGAGGAGGGGAAGCAGACTCTAGCCCTCCTTGAAGGAAGATTGCGATGCAAAATGTGGAGGCAACTGAAGGGATTTCTCTGTGGTGAATCAGTCTAGCTGCTCCTGCCTTCAAGTAAATGCAAGAAGTCAGAACTGACTGACAAGGGAATAATTTGTGTCTTGTGGAAAATGGATACTTGGCTCTAGTGGGGGTCCTCCTCCGGGGGGTCCTCAGGAGTTGCTCCCCCCCACCCCCACTCCCCTGCTTCTGTCTCCTTTTCTTGCACTTGGTCTCTCTGCCACTCTCCAGACAGACTCCTGGGGTGGGGTCCCTTTTTCTTTGCTCTGAGGGCCAGGAATGTATCTGGACATTATTATTCTCTTAGATGGCTTAACACACACACAGCCATTGATGCCCAGGTCCCTGGAGGCTCAGTGAGTAGCAGCGCCCATTTCCGGCTGCTTTGCCAGCAACAATCCCTTTGGGAGAGAGAGGATGTGGTCCTGGGATGCCCTGCTCTGGGTGCGAAGGGATTGCTGCAGTGGCCTCTGTGGGGAGCTGCCCTGGGAGACACTGGGAAACTGGTCCCCAATGCGGCAGCCAGACTCTGGGCTGGGATCCCTCTCTTTACTCCTCTCCTTTCTCTCCCACCTTTTCTTCCTCCTTCCCTGTGGGGTTTTCTTGGGGGGGGGGGCTAGTCCACCTCCTCGTCCAGCTTTGGAAAACCATTTGCACATGTTTCTTCTTTTGTGCAGTGACGATGAGAGACGTCACAGAGAGTCAAAGTTCTAGGGACTCCTTTGTTTAAAGAAATGAGATTTCGGGGGAGTGATTGTTTTTCTGTAGGGGGGGCGGAAGGCCAAATGAGTTTGGGACCCTCTGATCTGCAGGAAGGAGAGCGTGGCAGACCGGGCCCCTCCCTGGCAAGACCCTCTCCTCTCTGACTTGGGGTCCTGGCCCCCGCTCTCTCCTTCCCTGATCTTCCTCCTGGGGAGTCTGGCAAAAAGCTCTGGCTCTCAGCCCCGGGGCTCCTTCCTCCTCTGGGTAGCAGGAGCATATGGGGGTCTTTGCACCCTGACCCTCTCCTCCCTGACTTGGGGTCCCCCCAGGCCCCTCCCCTGCTGCAGCCCTGGGACCCCCACCAGATCCCAGAGAGAGAGGAGACTCACCAGATCCCAGAGAGAGAGGAGACTCACCAGATCCCAGGAGAGACAGCGATGCAGGAAAGGACTGGGGAGGGGTGGCTGGGCTCTGGAGGAACGCCCCCCCTTCCTGTGCTCTCTAGGAAGGCAGTTCGGTTCCCTTTAACCCTTGCAAAGCCGAGTCCGCCCAGCTCAGTCCTCTCTCGCCTTTCTGAACCTCAGCACTTTATTTTTCTGAATGGCTCTAAGGGGGCAGCTTCCCCGTGGCTCCGCCTATGGCAAGGGATCCTTTTGGGGGGGGGGGCCTTGGGCTCTTGGCTGGGCTCTAAGCATCTCCCTCGGTCCCTTTTTTGGGGGGGCCTTTGGCTCTTGGCTGGGTTCTGAGCATCTCCCTCGGTCCCTTTTTGGGGGGGCCTTTGGCTCTGGGCTGGGCTCTGAGCATCTCCCTCGGTCCCTTTTTGGGGGGGCCTTTGGCTCTGGGCTGGGCTCTGAGCATCTCCCTCGGTCCCTTTGGGGGGGGCCTTTGGCTCTTGGCTGGGCTCTGAGCATCTCCTCAGTCCCTTTGGGGGCCTTTGGCTCTTGGCTGGGCTCTGAGCATCTCCCTCGGTCCCTTTGGGGGGGGCCTTTGGCTCTTGGCTGGGCTCTGAGCATCTCCCTCGGTCCCTTTGGGGGCCTTTGGCTCTTGGCTGGGCGCTGAGCATCTCCCTCGGTCCCTTTGGGGGCCCTTGGCTCTTGGCTGGGCTCTGAGCATCTCCCTCGGTCCCTTTTGGGGGGGCCTTTGGCTCCTGGCTGGGCTCTGAGCATATCCCTAGGTCCCTTGGGTGGGGGCCATGGGCTCCTGGCTGGGCTCTGAGCATCTCCCTCACTCCCTTTTGGGGGGGCCTTTTGCTCTTGGCTGGGCTCTGAGCATCTCCCTCGGTCCCTTTGGGGGGGGCCTTTGGCTCTTGGCTGGGCTCTGAGCATCTCCCTCGGTCCCTTTGGGGGGGGCCTTTGGCTCTTGGCTGGGCTCTGAGCATCTCCCTCGGTCCCTTTGGGGGGGCCTTTGGCTCTTGGCTGGGCTCTGAGCATCTCCCTCGGTCCCTTGGGTGGGGGGGCCTTTGGCTCCTGGCTGGGCTCTGAGCATCTCCCTCACTCCCTTTTGGGGGGGCCTTTTGCTCTTGGCTGGGCTCTGAGCATCTCCCTCGGTCCCTTTGGGGGGGGGCCTTTGGCTCTTGGCTGGGCTCTGAGCATCTCCCTTGGTCCTTTTTTGGGGGGGGCCTTTGGGTCTTGGCTGGGCTCTGAGCATCTCCCTTGGTCCCTTTTTTGGGGGGCCTTTGGCTCTTGGCTGGGCTCTGAGCATCTCCCTTGGTCCTTTTTTGGGGGGGGCCTTTGGCTCTTGGCTGGGCTCTGAGCATCTCCCTCGGTCCCTTTTTTGGGGGGCCTTTGGCTCTTGGCTGGGCTCTGAGCATCTCCCTCGGTCCCTCGGCCAGGAAACGGAGGAGCAGCGCAGTCCAGGCTGGAGCCCAGCGGGAGAGACGCCGCCGCTCTGGGTGGGGAGAGAGAGCCGTACTGCCGCCGGAGAGAAGCCGGCCTGGGGGACCGGGGGGGGGGGGGAGGGAGAGTCCAGGGCTTGGGGACACCTCCCTTTTGAGAGGGGGGGATGGCCAGGAGTTGTCGAGCTTTTTGGACGGAAATAACTCAAAATAATGAGCTCTGACGCTAAACGGCTGCTTCCCTTCTCGAACCCCTTCTTCTCAAAATCAGTGTTACTTTAGGTATCCAGAATACAGTGGTACCTCAGGTTGCAGACGCTTCAGCTTACAGACTCCGCTAACCCAGAAATAGTGCTTCAGCTTAAGAACTTTGCTTCCGGATGAGAACAGAAATCATGCTCCGGCGGCAGCGGGAGGCCCCATTAGCTAAAGTGGTGCTTCAGGTTAAGAACAGTTTCAGGTTAAGAACAAACCCTCAGAACGAATTAAGTATTTAACCCGAGGTACCACTGTGAATACTACAGTATACAGTTTAAGTCTGTTTCTGCTGCTTCTGTCTCATCCCCTCACTTAGTTATGAGAGGTCTTTCCGTGAGGTACTTTTGACACAGCCCAGCTTCCTTCACAGCGGCCGGAGGACTGGTCGCATCTCTCGGGCTATTTCGGCGCGCTTTGGCCAAAGCTGCCTCTCAACTGCCGGATCAGCGGAAGCAGCCGCCTCCTCGCCCTCCCAGCCAATAGGCAGCCGAGCTTCCCGCATTCCACAGTCGCCTGCCCAATCAGGAGACACGCCCATCCCGCCCAAAAGCAGGTAGAATTCATCTGGAGTCAGAAAAGGTCCTCTCACACACGGGAAAGCAGATGGTTGACCTGAAGGTCTCAGGATTAAACACGGTTCTGCAGGCACAGCTTCCCTCCAATTCAGTTGCTGCACTTCAGGGAGATGTTCAGGTTTCCAGAATAGGTGGTGAAAGGCTGAACTCTCTTTCTGCGGCTTCTCTCTCATCCCCTCACTTAGTTATGAGAGGTCTTTCCGTGAGGTACTTTTGACACAGCCCAGCTTCCTTCACAGCGAGGGGCCACTTTTCCTCGGTTCCTCTCTCTCTTAGCAATCCCACTCCTGAGGTATTTTCCTTTGTATGCCAGACCCAGGGGATCCTCTCAGCCCTTGCCACGGACTTGGGAATCTCCTTTTCCTACAAGATCTCTCTCCTCCTGACTGGAAGGAGACCCCAGAAGAAGAGGAGAGTCTTCCCACAGCTTCTCCCTCCAGCTTCACTCCCATCTGAATACTCCCTTCAGACCCTCAACATGGTCTCCCCTTCTCAGCTGTGAGGCTCCTTCCTCTGGCTCCATAGATATTCTCCTCAGAGTGGATGATCCACTCAGATCAGAGCCACTTCTCCCTCCCTCCACCCTCTCCTCGTCCCCATCTTCTCTCAACCTTCCCTCTCTCCCATCTCAAATCCCCTCAGAAACGGCTCTCTTTATTTTCCCCCCAAAAGTGCTGGCGCCACCCCCCTCTGGGTAGCCAATCAGAAAGAGGCTCTGGCCCTCTGGTGGAATGGTGAGGCACTGCACCCCCAGACTCTGCTCTGGCTCTGCTGTCCGTCACAGCAGCCAGCTGCCCCAGCAGGCCTTGCAATCTCCCCACCGCTTGAGCCGTCCTCCATTGTCTCCTGAGACAGACGGATGAGGAGAGAGCCATTCAGGGGCCACAGGAAAGGGGCATTGGGGGCCGACAGAGGCAAACTGGAGCGGGGCAGCATCGCCGAAAGGATGGCTACCTCTCTCTCTCTTCTTCCTTCTCAATATCCGTTATTGCTAGCTAAGAAATTGGGGGAAAGGCAGCTACTCTGTGTAGGGTTTCTTGGGGTTGAGATCCGCAAGCTGTGTATGGTACGATTTCTCAGCAATAAATATGATACACTTTTATGGGTGTTATGGAAAATTTGATGCTGTACTGTTTTTAATATTCAGTTGGAAGCCACCCAGAGTGGCTGGGGAAACCCAGCCAGATGGGCGGGGTATAAATAATAAATTATTATTATTATTATTATTATTATTATTATTATTATTACTATTCCGGGTTGAGAGACGACTCATCAGCCCAGCCAGTCGGGAAGTTCCAGCCAAGTAGTTTGGAGCAAAACAGCGGTCAGTAGACCTTGATCTTTCTTGTTGCCCAACAGGTCCCCACAGGAGCAAGAACCCAGAACAAAGGGTTACCTTGACTTTTACCCAGAGTACATTTCACAGGGCATCATGAATAGGCCCACACTACATCACAAAGGAGGGGATATAAGATATACACAAGTTCAGCAGGGGCCAGACACCGCTCACAACACCTCTTAAGTCCCCATCACCCAAAGAACAATGAAACCCTTGGCATCTCCTTGCCCTCAGGACTTGTCCGGAGATGGGCTTTCAGAACACCTGACTTGCTAAATTGCCTCTGTGGATGTCTATTGTTGCCCCCCCGTCACTCCCTGGGTGGGGGGCCATGTATGTGCTCTCCGGCTTGGGGAAAGATGCCCTCTTCCTACTGCCTACGTGACTTCCTGCTTCTTGGTTCATGGAGGGAGGTGGAGCCCAAATTCACCCTTCTTGCAGGGTTAAAATGGCATTGGAATGAGGAGAGTCGGTTAAAGTATGGATTTTCTAGGAATTTATAAAGCTAGGTATCTTCCCTGTGCTGTCAAGTCAAAAGCATACATTCAGGCCTAATATTTGTAACATTGCAAAAACTATAAAGATGCCCGCCCCCGTCATTTCCGTAACATGGGTAAGTGAACTTATATTTGAAACAATGCAGACGCAGTCAAGAAGGATTTTTCTGATATTCTCGCAGGAGCATATTTGGATTTGGCATGCCAGGTTGTAAAGTTCCCATTGGCTGTATTTGTTGATTAATTTTTCTCATATCCTGCAGAAGACGCCATTTTCCTGATTTTTTTTTTATAATGAAAATTGGGGAGTTCCAGGGAGATGAGGACGGTTCAATGTGGCCAAGGGTCAATTGTTCAGAAATAAGCTGGGCCGCCGCTGCTAATTTTTCTTTTGGTAGGGGCCACTGTTCTACCCATACTGGGGTAGTGGTGATCCATCGTAACGGCAGTGCCGTGCGTGGAAGTGCAGGGGCAGCCCTTAGAATAAATTTGACTCCAATTTGGTGTCTGCAATAGCCAAAATATCGCGCCCCCATAAGGAGACTGGAATGCCCATTATTAATGGATAGAGGGTGATCTGAACCCCGCTATCGCTTTGGATGAGTATTGGGTGGAGACTGCGCCGTGCCTGTGATTCACCTCCCACACCAATAACTTGTGTGGCTGGACAGGTGGGCCAACTGGGTGGCCAAGCAGATTTTGCCACGACTGTTACATCCGCCCCTGTGTCCAGAACTCCCTCAATGAGTCAACCTCCCACTGTCAGAGACACAGAAGGGTGCGAAGCTGTAATGTTCATGGCTGCTGCAATTAGGGGTAGTTGTTCGGATGGGGGGAAAATGATAATCTTCGCCACTGAAGTATTTGACTGTATTCTGCATGGACGATCCGCATATAGCGTGATCTCAGGGAAATTCACATATGGTCCGTGTGTTAGCATCGGTACCGCATGAATTCCTGCTGCTTGTGCAGATAATAGAGGCAATACCAAACAAGTGGCATGATTGTCCAACCCTGCTTTAGTGAGGACATGAGTCTTTAAAGGGCAGAAAGGCAAATGGAATTCCACGTCCTGAGTCAGGCGAAGCTGTGGTGCTGTTTCCCTGGACTCCGGGAGGTCCCCTATTGATTTGTCTGGGCCCAAGGTGGGCCCGGCTGCCAGTTTCCCTGCTGTTGTCCTTGCTGATTTCGGGCAGTGTACTGACCCTGCTGTTGGTTTTGGGAAGCGATCTGCATTGATTGGCCCAATGAAAGCCTTTTTTGCAGATTGGACATTTGGTAGAAGGACGCCTAGGCTGTTGCGTGGATCTACATTGCGCCTTAAAGTGTCCTGGTTTGCCACACTGGAAACATGTTTTATCGGTGGCTACAGGCTGGTTTTTATTTAGCGCCGCTGCCAGCAGATGAGCCTTGTGGGAGGCTGTACCCACAGATTGACAAATGTGAAGCATGGCTGCTGTGTAGGATTGTGTATTATCGGTCGTAATGCAACCTTACAATCCTCATTGGCATTTTCAAAGGCCAATTGTTTGATAATTATTTGTTTGGCTTCAGGATTTTCTATTTGGCGACTCACTGCTGTAATCAGCCTGTCCATAAAGGAAGAATATGATTCTCTTGCCTCTTGCCTGATTGAACCCCACCTTGATTGAATACTGGGTTCTGATTTGTTGTAATAAAGCCGGAGCATATGCACGGCTGGCAGTTTCCCATTCGTGGGCAAACAATACGCCCGCTGATGGAGGTAACACTGTATGGGCCAAAAGCTTTATGTCATCTGGAACCAAGAGCTGGGCTAATGTGGCTTCCAAAAGCGTCTGCGTATATGGGGCTTGGAGTCCATTGGTCTTTACTGACTGCTGCAACTCTTTCAAGATCTTAAAGTCAAAAGGTTGGTGTTGGGCTTGAGTTCCTGCTGGAGCACCAGCAGGCGGCACTATAACGGGAAATGCCACAGTATCCTGAATTAAGGAACAGGCAAGGACTGCATGTTGAAAAGGGGTAGCTGGTTCTGTTGGTGAGGGAGTAGGATCTTTGCCAACCAGACCATGGTATTTTTGCAGGATTGGATCCTCTGGCAAGGAACTATAGTCCGGAAGCTTGGGGTCTGGTGGTGCTGGCAAGGCAAGTATCGGAACAGACGGTAACACAGCAGGCTGGACTAAAGAAGCCGGAGGTGATGTTGGCAATACAGCCATGGAGATACCGTATTTTTCGCTCCATAGGACGCACTTTTTCCCCTCCAAAAATGAAGGGGAAATGTGTGTGCGTCCTATGGAGCGAATGCAGGCTTTCGCTGAAGCCTGGAGAGCGAGAGGCATCGGTGCGCACCGACCCCTCTCGCTCTCCAGGCTTCAGGAAGCTATCCGCAAGCCTTGCAAGCCCGGCGGGAGTTCCCGCGGTCTCACAAGGCTTGCAGGCAGCAGCCTGCAGCCCCGGCGAGTGTCCGCAAGCCTTGCGCGCCCGGCAGGAGGTCCCGCCCAGCGCGCAAGGCTTGGGGCGGCAGCCTGTCGCCCGAGCACGGGAGCCCTCCGGAGGGCTCCCGTGCTTCGGGCGAGTGTCTGCAGCCTTGCGCGCCCGGCAGGAGGTCCCGCCGAGCGCGCGAGGCTTGGGGTGGCAGCATGTCGCCCGAGCACGGGGAGCCCTCCGGAGGGCTCCCGTGCTTCGGGCGAGTGTCTGCAAGCCTTGCGCGCCCGGCAGGAGGTCCCGCCGAGCGCGCGAGGCTTGGGCGGCAGCCTGTCGCCCGAGCACGGGAGCCCTCCGGAGGGCTCCCCGTGCTTCGGCGAGTGTCTGCAGCCTTGCGCGCCCGGCTGGAGGTCCCGCCGAGCGCGCGAGGCTTGGGGTGGCAGCATGTCGCCCAAAGCACGGGGAGCCCTCCGGAGGGCTCCCCCTGCTACGGGCGAGTGTCGGCAACCCATTCGCCCCCGGCAGGAGGTCCCCCCCAGCGCGCGAGGCGTGGGGTGGCAGCATGTCGCCCGAGCACGGGAGCCCTCCGGAGGGCTCCCGTGCTTCGGGCGAGTGTCTGCAAGCCTTGCGCGCCCGGCAGGAGGTCCCGCCGGCGCGCGAGGCTTGGGGCGGTAGCCTGCAGCCCGAGCACGCGGAGCCCTCCGGAGGGGGCCCCGGGCTTCTTGCCGGTGGGCACAAGGCTTGGGGCGGCAGCCGCGGCGGGGGGGGGGAATAATTTTTTTTATTCATTTCCCCCCCCAAAAAATGAGGTGCGTCCTATGGGCCGGTGCGCCCTATAGAACGAAAAATACGGTATTTTTTTGGTGATAAAGAGCCCATGGCGTTCTGATTGCACCATGCATTCAGAACGCGAACGCCCATGCTAGGGTGTCCGTGGAAATGTGCTCCAATTTTGTCCCAATGTTTTAACTCCCAAGTTCCATCTTGGGGATACCAGGGGCAATGCTCATCGATGGCCAGAATAAGCTGTATCAAATCACCCTCCGGAACTTCCAATTTGTTGGAGGAGAGGAGAAATTTTAAGTCTTTTAAAAATTTCTGTTGGGGAATAGACAAAGAGCTGCCCATTTTTCCAATATCAAGATAAAGGGATTGACTCACCGGGATCCTATAGATGCGTAGCGCTTGTAACCCTTGCCAGGCGTGGAGAGTCGATGATATCCGTTGCGTGGATCGAAAAACCTCACATGGTTTCCTTTAAGTCATCCTCACTCAGTTTTCTTTTAGTTTGCCTCACACGGATTTCTTTTAGTCAGCCTCAGACGTATTCTTTTAGTCAGCCTCACACGGATTTCTTTTAGTTAGCCTCGCACGGAGCACCACTTGACGGAAGCCAGCCGTCACAAATGGTGCTGTACAGCATTTGAAAAAGGGACACAGTGAGACAGCAATATTTTCAGGATGGAGGAGCAGCTCCTTCAACTTCTCTCTCCCTCCGGTAACTTTTTATTATCCTTTGTCTCTCTCTCAGCCTGCATGGCCGTCTGCCAATGTCTCACGTTACATGCCCAATCATGGCTTTACAACACCCATCGCCATATAAGGTAATTACTGCCCAGAGGGGGAACACAACTCCATATAAGGTCAATACATTCAATACATTACAAGGCACAGACATGCTGGTCACTGAGATCAGCAGGCACCATGCAGCAATACAAGCCTCTGCCGTGGCTTTATGACTCCCACATTTTTCTCTAGTGTTTCAATCAGCCTCACCTGAATAAACACTTAGATTATGTGAAAATAATGGGAGATACCATCTCCAGATGAAATTAGACCTGTGCTTTTATTTATTTCATCGTATAAAAGAGAATTTTAAAGAAAGCAATGGTTACAACAGTAAGCAACAAATACCTTGTCCTCATGGAATTGCAGACTTTCATCCTGCCATGTGTTAAAGTTTCAATTGATTATTCTAAAAGATCACACCACATTTTCCCACGAGTGCCGGGTAGATTCCGGCAACAGTCTTCACAATTTATGTATTCAATAAACATTGGCCACATGTTATAAAAGGAATACGGATTGTGTTCCCCCACCTTTTGGATACTTAAATTGTGATGCCCAGAACTGAACACAGTATTCTAGGTGGGGCCTGACCAAGGCAGAAGAAAGTGGTACTATTCCTGCCCTTGATCTGATTCTGCCTTCTGCCACATTGGCCTGTGCTCCCCGTTTGGTGTCGTCCGCAAATGTGATGAGCATCCTCTCAGTTCCTTCATTCAAGTCATTCATAAAGACGCTGAACAACAACGGGCCCAGGACAGAACCCTGCAGCACCCCTCTTGTCACTTTTCCCCAGGATGATGAGGAACCATGAAGGAGTCCTCTTTGGGTTCGGTCAGTCAAATCCGCCTAACAGATTCTTCGTTCAGCTCACATATTACCAGCTTCCACGTAAATATTTCATGGGGGCACTTTGTCAATAGCCTTACTGAAATCAAGATGAACTATTTCCACAGCTCTCCCCTGATCAACAAAGTTTGTAACTTCATCCAAAAAAAGGGGAGGAGAGATTTCTCTGGCTTGACTTGTTTTTGAGAAAGCCATGCTTTTATCCTGTATGTTTCTGTTGTGAAATCTTCAGATGAAGGGCACATAAATATTAAAAATGATAATAAATAAGGATATTGACAAGCTGAAACATGTGCAAAGGAAGGTGATTTATGTAATTATTTGTCTACCACCTGACTCTGTGGTGCCAACTTGAATAAAATATTGGAGGAAGGGGCCAGGTAAGGCCTGCCTTGCACAATCAATCACATGATGCATAAAGGGCATTGGAATGGCGATGCCTACCAACTGGGGGGGGGGTGGCCCCCTCAAATATATCATTGGGGGGCAAAATCCCCTCAGCCTCTAAAAGTCGACTCCTGTTCCCACATGTCTCAGGACGGTTACAATATAAAAAGACAACATAAAAACACAAAATATACATCTGTAACCCCCCTCACTACCACATTTTAAAAGGGCATTAGATGTCAATCAGGCAAAGGCCTGGTTAGCAAGGTGCGGATTTGCCTGGCTCCTAAAGCTGGATAATGGTTTTTCCAACTGTTGCATGAATTCTCTGATGCCTAGTGAGATTGGAGCTCTGACTGAAGCTCTTTCCACATTCCACACACTGATAGGGTTTCTCCCCTGTATGAATTCTTTGATGGGAAGTGAGACTGGAGCTCATACTGAAGCTCTTTCCACATTCCACGCAATGATAGGGTTTCCCCCTGTATGTGTATGAATTTTTTGATGGGAAGTGAGAGTGCTGCTCTTACTAAAGCTCTTTCCACATTCAAAGCATTTATATTGTTTCTCCCCTGTATGAATTCTTTGATGGGTATTCAGATGTGCTCTCTGGATGAAACTCTTTCCACATTCCACGCACTGATAGGGTTTCTCTCCTGTATGAATTCTTTGATGGGAAGTGAGCTTACAGCTCTTACTAAAGCTCTTTCCACATTCAAAGCAATTATATGGTTTCTCCCCTGTATGAATTCTTTGATGGGAAGTGAGACTGTGGCTGTGACTGAAGCTCTTTCCACATTCCATGCACTGATAGGGTTTCTCCCCTGTATGAATTCTCTGATGGGATATGAGCTGAGCTTTCTGCCTGAAGCTCTTTCCACATTCCACACACTGATAGGGTTTCTCACCTGTATGAATTCTCTGATGGGAAGTGAGATGGGAACTCGTACTGAAGCTCTTTTCACAAACCATGCACTTAAAGGGTTTCGCCCCAGTATGAATTCACTGGTGCGTAGTGAGATTGGAGCTCAGACTGATGCTCTATCACCATTCCACACTCTGATACGGTTTCTCTCCTGTATGAATTCTTTGATGGGAAGTGAGACAGTGGCTGTGACTGAAGTTCTTTCCACATTCCACACACTGATAGGGTTTCACTCCTGTATGAATTCTCTGATGGGAAGTGAGATGGCCTCTCTGACTGAAGGTCTTTCCACATTCCATGCACTGATAGGGTTTCTCCCCTGTATGAATTCTGTGATGATTAGTGAGATCAGAGCTGTGACTAAAGCTCTTTCCACATTCCACACACTGATAGGGTTTCTCCCCTGTATGAATTTTCTGATGCTTAGTGAGATTGGAGTTCTGACTGAAGCTCTTTCCACATTCCACGCACTGATAGGGTTTCTTTCCAATGAGAATTCTTTGTTGGGAAGTGGAATGGGAGTTCTGACTGCAGCTCTCTCCACATTCCAAATTTTTGCATGGCTTCTCCTCTCCAGGGGTTTTGTCATGTTCATCCTTGTTCTTGTTTTCCAATTCATCAAAATCTGCAATGGAGACAAAAAAGGGATTAGAACCTCAGGAACAAATCAAGAAGAACTGAAGGGAGTTGGGTCTTTGTTCATTGCCTTTGTTGGTTGTCATTAACCAACATTTTTATTCATATATTCTGATGGTTGTTGAGTGTTGATTTGTTTGATATACAGTAGTGGCCAAAATTGTGGAAGCCTTTTGGGAAAATAGTATATTTCAGATGTTTGATGCTTCGTAACACGACTTCGTTTAGAGTAATACCACAAAATTATGTATCAATGGAAAGATAATTTAATGAAGAATGTAATTATCTGTATTCTATCAAAAGTCATAGCGGAATAACCAGAAAAAGGAAGCACAACTTGCTTAGCTTGACTTTTGTCAGTGTGTTATGTTATATTGTGGAAAGTTGATATAAAATTTACAGATTGTATATTATTAAGAGAGAATTACATGAAAATGATGTATAGATGGTATATCACATCAGTGAAAATGGCAAAGATGTTTAAGAAAGAAAATAAGAGATGCTGGAGATGTAAAGAAAAGAAAGGAACATTTTATCATATGTGGTGGGAATGCAAATGCATTAAAAAATACTGGGAAATGATATTTAATGAACTGAAAAGAATGTTTAAAATGAGCTTTGGTAAACATCCTGAAGCCTTTCTGTTAGGTATCTCAAATCAAGAGCTGCCAAAAGAAAAAGGGACATTATTTATAGCATACATTATTTATGTATGCTACAACAACTCTTTTAATGAGGGTGAAAGAGGAGAGTGCAAAATATGGTCTGAAGCTCAACATCAAAAAAACGAAGATCATGGCCACTGGGCCCATCACCTCCTGGCAAATAGGGGAAGAAATGGAGGCAGTGAGAGATTTTACTTTCTTGGGCTCCATGATCACTGCAGATGGTGACAGCAGTCACGAAATTAAAAGACGCCTGCTCCTTGGGAGAAAAGCAATGACAAACCTAGACAGCATCTTAAAAAAGCAGAGACATCACCTTGCCGACAAAGGTCCGTATAGTTAAAGCTGTGGTTTTCCCAGTAGTGATGTATGGAAGTGAGAGCTGGACCATAAAGAAGGCTGATCGCCGAAGAATTGATGCTTTTGAATTCTGGTGCTGGAGGAGACTCTTGAGAGTCCCATGGACTGCAAGAAGATCCAACCTCTCCATTCTGAAGGAAATCAGCCCTGAGTGCTCACTGGAAGGACAGATCCTGAAACTGAGGCTCCAAGACTTTGGCCACCTCATGAGAAGAGAAGACTCCCTGGAAAAGACCCTGATGTTGGGAAAGATGGAGGGCACAAGGAGAAGGGGACGGCAGAGGACGAGATGGTGGGACAGTGTTCTCGAAGCTACCAGCAGGAGGGAGGCAGTGGAAGACAGGAGTGCCTGGTGTGCTCTGGTCCAGGGGGTCACGAAGAGGCGGACACGACTAAACGACTAAACAACAACAACAACAACAGCGGCAAGAATCTTGACTGCACAAAATTGGAAGATGGAAGAAATACCATCAAAAGAACACTGGTAAGAAAAACTGATGAATTATGCAGAATTGGCTAAGCTAACAGATAAACTACAAGAGAAGGACAAAAAGGATTTTAAAAGTTTGGGAAACATTTACAGGTTATTTGCAGAAACAACAACTGGCAGGGTCTGAATAAACTTTATTATAGTAACAGACAAATTAGAGAAATGGTAAGGGAATTTACTTTTATATAAAGCAGGACGCAATAAATAAAACCAAATAACTCAGTAGAGGGGAGTTGAGGGAAGTCCAGAGGATGGGAGGGAGAACATTTGTATATAACATGATGATTGATATATTTTTATTTGTTATAAAATTCAATAAATATTCATTTTTAAAAAGAAAAAAGAAGAAGAAAGATTGAGGAAAACTTAACCAAAGCTGGCCTTTCTATATTTGTGAAGAGGTATAAGGAGACTCCCATACACTGCAAGAAGATCAAACGTATCCATTCTGAAGGAAATCGGCCCTGAGTGCTCACTGGGAGGACAGATCCTGAAGCTGAGGCTCCAATACTTTGGCCACCTGATGAGAAGAGAAGACTCCCTGGAAAAGACCCTGATGTTGGGAAAGATGGAGGGCACAAGGAGAAGGGGACGACAGAGGAGAGGATGGTTGGATAGTGTTGTTGAAGTTACCAGCATGAGTTTGACCAAACTGCGGGAGGCAGTGGAAGACAGGAGTCCCTGGCATGCTCTGGTCCAGGGGGTCACCAAGAGGCGGACAGGACTAAATGACTAAAGAACAACATAAGGAGACTCAATCACTACAAAATCAGACTGGTAAAGGCAGGAAAAGGTGCACAACAGCAAGTGATGATCGAAGAATGAAGAGTCTGTGCCCACATGTCAGAAGAAAATCATCTGGGTGTTTACAAGATGACATGGGGCAACGGAAGGTGAAGTTGAGTGCAAGGACTGGTCTAAATGCTAGAATTCTAAGGAAAAAGCCATTGTTATATGTCAGGGAACTGCCATCGGAGCTAGAGGCGGAGGGAAGGCTCCAGAGGGATGCAGGAGAGGGCCCCAGTAGGGAGAGAGGCAGCCCATCTGCTGGGGAAGGAAATCAGCGTAACACCAGTGGAGAAGGGGGGCAGATGGGGGAATCGGAGAGGAGGCTCCAAGACTCCTCGCCGGAGACCAGCGGAGAGAGTACGGGTACTCCGCTGCCCACACCCTCCCTGCGCAGAAGACTTCCGCGCAGGGAGAGTAGGAGGAGACTTGGCGTCAAACAACTTTTATGCTGGAAAAGGTTCAAGAAACGCCCACTGACGGATTCTGCCAGCGACTGAGACAGTCACGATGCTGGAGGCTGTTCAGTCAGAAAGGGTTTAACCAGGTAACCTCGCCAGCAGTGGCGGCAACTTACGCACGAGCAACCCCTAAATCCATTACATTATATCTCAAGCCAAGGTGGAAAAGATTAAACTGGGCTAAAACCCATGGTAACCAGACAGCGGAACAATGGGACAGTGTTATTTGGTGTGATGAGACCCCAATCTCCTTGCTTGGTAGTGATGGCATGAAATATGCGAGGAGGAGAATCGGAGATTTACATCCTACTTGCATTACACTGACCGTGAAACACCCAGACAGTGTGATGATCTGGGGTTGTATGACAGCAAAAGGTGTGGGCAGAATAATAATAATAATAATAATAATAATAATAATAAATTTTATTTATATCCTGCCCTTCCCAGCCGAAGCCGGGCTCAGGGCAGCTAACAACAATCAAATAATCCCACATTCTAAAAACATTCCATTATAAAAATTAATTAAAATCAAATTAATGGCAACCGTTAAGCAAAATTCTGTGCAGATTGCCAGAGGAGGGAGTCAGGCTGCGCCCTGACCAAAGGCCTGGTGGAACAGCTCTGTCTTGCAAGCCCTGCGGAAAGATGTCAGGTCCCGCAGGGCCCTAGTCTCTTGTGACAGAGCATTCCACCAGATTGGAGCCGCAGCCGAGAAAGCCCTGGCTCTAGTTGAGGCCAGCCTAACTTCTCTGTGGCCTGGGACCTTCAAGATGTTTTTATTTGAAGACCGTAAGTTTCTCTGTGGGGCATACCAGGAGAGGCGGTCCCGTAGGTACGAGGGTCCTAGGCCGTATAGGGCTTTAAAGGTTAAAACCAGCACCTTAAACCTGATCCTGTACTCCACCGGGAGCCAGTGCAGCTGGTATAGTACCAGATGAATGTGATCTCGCAGCGAAGACCCCGTAAGGAGTCTCGCCGCAGCATTCTGCACCCGCTGGAGTTTCTGGGTCAGTCTCAAGGGCAGCCCCACGTAGAGTAAGTTACAATAATCCAGTCTGGAGGTGACCGTCGCGTGGATCACAGTGGCTAGGTCAGGGCGAGAGAGATAAGGAGCCAACTGCTTAGCTTGGCGGAGATGAAAAAATGCCGCCTTTGCTGTAGCTGTAATCTGCGCCTCCATAGAGAGGGAGGTATCAAAGATTACACCCAAACTCTTAACGGATGGTGCTGGCACTAATTGCTTTTTTTTTAAAATGATATTTATTAAAATTTCAAAAAGAAGAATTACATAAATAAAGACAAGGAGAAAAAACAAAAAAAGACAAAAACAAAAGACAAAAGTAAAAATACAAGAAAAATACAAAATACAGAATAAAATAATAAAAAACACTTTAAAAATACATCAATCTTTCCATGCCTTACATTCATATCCTTACTTCCCTGACCTCCTCATACCTCCCTTTTTTGTATTCCAATTCAGTTAGTTAAGTCAGCAATTTCTTTCCCTCTGTATTTCTCTTAATCCTTTAACTTAATATACTATAACTTTGGATTTTCACCTGTTATCAGTCCATTTTTACATACACCTTTATAGCATTGCTGCTTAAACCACCTAACTTCATTCTAACATCATTCTAACATTCATTAATTTTGCAATATTTCTGTAGATAATCTTTGAATTTCTTCCAATCTTCTTCCACCGACTCTTCTCCCTGGTCTCGGATTCTGCCAGTCATTTCCACCAGTTCCAATCAAGGGGGGTTTAGGTTGTGCCGATGAGGCTCCTGTTGGTAATCCAGAAGGACCAGATGTCGATGTTCTTCACTGCAGCCCACCGTCTTTACGAAATAATCTGCCAGATCTCATTGTTTTTTCCTGTAGCAAATCTATTTTCTCCTTTCCATCTGCCATAACACTCTAGATAAGGCCCAAGGTCAGTCTCACGATCAGAATTTGTTTTGAAGTGGAAAATTCCCCTGGCCCAGCTACTATTGTAACAATTTCAAACTTCCTCTAGGGGGACACAGTAGCAGTCAGAAATTATTGTCTTAAAGTAATTAACCTTTTTTCCTTTAGCCCCCCAATTCACAAAAAGGACGACAATTTCAATCTCAGTTGTTTTCAGTTACTTTAAAACCAGGAGAAGCCAGCCAGAAATATTGTATCTTACTTGTATCTCACTTGCAGAGTTAACTGTCAAAGAGTACTTTCAGCAGCAGCGCATTTCACAATACGGCATTCTTACTGTTCACTGGCAACCCATTCCCAGGTTTTAAGCGGTGGATTTTAGCTTCCTTTTCTCTCTTTTTGCAGGGAAATACAGTTCAGACCTTTTCCCCCTCCTCCCCTGCAATCAAGGGGGGGGGGAATCGCTTATTTGATGTTAGAATTGTAATCCTTTTCCAACGTCTTTCGAGGTTTCCACTTACAAGTTCATTGCTTTACTCCATTTACAAAGAACGGAAGGCAGACTTCCTGTTTATGCCTCTCCGCTTCGGTGCCAAATTATTTCTTAGTTCCTTTGTTTCCGAAATTAGCCTACTCACAGATCGTTGTTTTGCAGCCAAATTGTCCCAGGAAAAAGGCAGCGCTCTCCGGTAACGGCTATGCGGCTTCGCTCCACGGAAGATGCAGTTGACTCACAGCACCGCGCCACTTCCCCGCTCCGCTCCGGAACCTGTAATCGGGCTCCTTTGCAAGTTGGGGGGGCGCAAAAGGTGCCCGCCGAGTCCCACGGTCACAGGCTTCACCTGCCTGTGATTTTTGAAGGGTCCCCGCTTCGCCATAGCGGTGCAGACCCGATTTCCACAGAGCCAGTCCCCTCCGAGTCAGAGGGAATCCGCCATTACTGATGGCGCCACCCTGGAAGTCCGGTGCTGGCACTAATTGCACCCCCGCAAGAGATGGGAGTTGCCCCCTCAATCCCATATCGTCCCGTCCCAGCCAGAGGACAGAGAAACCCGGGGGCGCCATCTCTCGTAAGGTAACAGTTTCCTCTTCGCACACCCAGGTCTCCGTCACACAAGCCAGGTCGACCCCCCTGCGAGGTAAAGAAATCTCGCAGGGTGGCGGTTTTATTGCCTATAGATCTGGCATTGCACAACACCAGTGACGGAGGTGAGTAATCCTTGCTCACCCTACCCTCGTCCCTCAGGATGGGGCGCAGATTGGAAGGAGTACGAGCATATCCGTATCTCAATCCCCTTCGCCTATAACATCTGCCCCCACTGCCATACCTCCCTCGCCCCTCCACAGTAGCAATCCCAAGCCTCATACTAGCCTCCATTTACCAAATAGAAAAACAAAACAAACCACAAACAATTATACCAAACAAAACCAGTCCCCACCCCACTCAATATACAACCCCAAATCAAAATAAAACGGAACAAAATAAAAATACATAAATAAAAACCACTGTTCATGGTGGTACAACAAAGTAAATGTAAAAACACCTTTAAAACACTTTAAAATATATAAAAACATTTTTAACATTTGCTGCAGCAGCACCAGTGTCCTTAAGGCTGTGGCGGAGGTGAGTGTGGGGCCCCTAGGCCAGGTGGAATTAGCCTAAGGAGGGAGCGGCCTTCCCCAACACTCACGGTGCAGCAGCAGCAGCAGCAGCAGTGTCATTAATGGGAACGTCAATGCCCCCAAACACATAAATCAAATACCTGAACCTGAACTGAAGCGTTCTGAATGGGAAATCTTATTCCACTGCTGGAATGGCCTGGGAATAGCCCAAGCGAAATGAGGGGATGAGGGACCAACTCCCTTCTCTTGCCATTGCCTTCCGTTAAGAGTTTGGGTGTAATCCTTGACGCCTCCCTTTCCATGGAGGCGCAGGTTACAACAGCCAAGGCGACATTTTCCCACCTTTGCCGCATCAAGCAGCTGGTCCCTTACCTCTCCCGCCCTGACCTGGCCACAGTGATCCATGCGACGGTCATCTCCAGGCTTGACTACTGTAATTCGCTCTACGCAGGGCTCCCCTTGAAGCTGTCCCAGTAACTCCAGCGGGTGCAGAATGCTGCAGCAAGGCTCCTCACGGGGTCTCTGCCATGGGAGCATATTCACCCAGTGCTTTTCCAGCTGCACTGGCTCCCGGTGGAGTACAGGGTCAGATTTAAGGTGCTGCTTTTGACCTTTAAAGCCCGGAGGACCTTAAGGTCCATATATAGCAACACCCTAGAGGTCCTGGGCCCTAAGGAAGTTAGATTAGCCTCAACCAGAGCCAGGGCCTTCTCAACACTGGCTCCAGCCTGGTGGAACGCTCTGTCTCATGAGACCTGGGCCCTGCAGGATCTGATTTATTTCCGCAGGGCCTGTAAGACAGAGTTGTTCCACCTGGCCTTTGGCTTAGAATCAGTTTGATTCCCTCCCCCTCTTTCTTTTTCCTTTCTCCTCCCTTGAAGAGGCTGCATCCTAATGTTTTAATGTTGTATCTTAATCTTTTAAATTGTATATGAATCAACTTGTTTTTATTACTGGTTGTTAACCACCCTGAGCCCGGTCTTGGCTGGGGATATAAAAATTTGGCTGGGGAAATAAAAATTTATTATTATTATTAATAATAATAATAATAATAATAATAATTCCATCTTGGTTTCACAGCTGCAGAACTAAAAAACTTGCTTCACTCCATGGGAAGGCATTGTAAGCCTGGAATTCTTGTCTGGTCTGTTTCTATTTCGGAGAAACAGACCAGACAAGAAAGGAGGAGGAGTGGCGTTATATGTCAGGGATGTGTATACCTGTGAAGAGATCCAAGATTTAGAACCTCAAAGCCAAAGTGAGAGCATTTGGGTCAAAATTAAGGGAGAGAAGAATAACAGTGACCTCATTGTGGGAGTTTACTATAGATCCCCAAGCCAAACGGAGGACATAGATGATGCCTTCCTGGAACAGATGGCCAAGCATGCAAAAGGAAGGGAGATAGTAGTAATGGGGGACTTCAATTACCCGGATATTTGTTGGATGTCAAACTCAGCCAAGAGCATAAGGTCAAACAGATTCCTCACTGGCCTTGCAGACAACTTCATTGTCCAGAAAGTGGGAGAAGCAACAAGAGGAACAGCCATTTTAGATCTGGTCCTAACCAATGTTGATGACCTGGTTAGTGGGGTAGAAGTGGAAGGATCATTAGGCGCGAGTGATCATGCTCTTCTGAAGTTTACTATACAGCGGAAAGGAGCAGCCAAGCATACTAGGACTCAATTTCTTGACTTTAAGAAAGCTGACTTCATAAAACTTAGGAAGTGCTGGGTGAGATCCCATGGACAGTAATACTAAAAGGAAAGGGAGTTCATGATGGCTGGGAGTTTGTTAAGAGGGAGATACTAAAAGCACAACGTCAGGCAATACCAATGAGACAGAAACATGGAAGGTGCCTAAAGAAACCAGGGTAGCTATCTAAAGAACTTTTAACTGAGTTAAGATTAAAAAAGGATGTGTACAAAAAATGGAAAAGGGGGGGAAACCACCAAAGAGGAATTCAAACAAATAGCCAGCACGTGTAGACACAAAGTCAGAAAAGCTAAAGCACAGAATGAACTCAGGCTTGCTAGAGAGGTTAAAAGCAACAAAAAGGCTTTTATGGGTATGTCCGTAGCAAAAGGAAGAACAAAGAAACAGTGGGGTCACTCAGAGGAGAAGATGGTGAAATGCAAACAGGGGACACAGAAAGGGCAGAACTCCTCAATGCCTTCTTTGCCTCAGTCTTCTCCGATAAAGAAAACAATGCCCGACCTGAAGAATTCGGAGCAAATGATTCAGCAAAGGAAACACAGCCCAGAATAACTAAGGAGATAGTACAAGAATACTTGGCTAGTTTAGATGTATTCAAGTCTCCAGGGCCAGATGAACTGCATCCAAGAGTATTAAAAGAACTGGCAGATGTGATCTCAGAACCACTGGCAGTCATCTTTGAGAATTCCTGGAGAACAGGCGAAGTCCCGGCAGACTGGAGGAGGGCAAATGTTGTCCCTATTTTCAAAAAGGGAAAAGAGAGGACCCAAATAATTACCGCCCAGTCAGTCTGACATCAATACCAGGGAAGATTCTGGAGCAGATCATTAAGCAAACAGTCTGTGAGCACCTAGAAAGGAATGCTGTGATCACCAATAGTCAGCATGGATTTCTGAAAAATAAGTCATGTCAGACTAACCTGATCTCGTTTTTGACAGAATTACAAGCCTGGTAGATGAAGGGAACGCAGTGGATGTAGCCTACCTTGATTTCAGCAAGGCATTTGACAAGGTGCCCCATGATATTCTTGTAAAGAAGCTGGTAAAATGCGGTCTTGACTATGCTACCACTCAGTGGATTTGTAACTGGCTGACTGACCGAACGCAAAGGGTGCTCATCAATGGTTCCTCTTCATCCTGGAGAAGAGTGACTAGTGGGGTGCCACAGGGTTCGGTCTTGGGCCCGGTCTTATTCAACATCTTTATCAACGACTTGGATGATGGACTCAAGGGCATCCTGATCAAATTTGCAGATGACACCAAATTGGGAGGGGTGGCTAATACCCCAGAGGACAGGATCACACTTCAAAACGACCTTGACAGATTAGAGAACTGGGCCAAAACAAACAAGATGAATTTTAACAGGGAGAAATGTAAAGTATTGCACTTGGGCAAAAAAATGAGAGGCACAAATACAAGATGGGGACACCTGGCTTGAGAGCAGTACATGTGAAAAGGATCTAGGAGTCTTGGTTGACCACAAACTTGACATGAGCCAACAGTGTGACGCGGCAGCTAAAAAGCCAATGCAATTCTGGGCTGCATCAATAGGAGTATAGCATCTAGATCAAGGGAAGTAATAGTGCCACTGTATTCTGCTCTGGTCAGACCTCACCTGGAGTACTGTGTCCAGTTCTGGGCACCACAGTTCAAGAAGGACACTGACAAACTGGAACGTGTCCAGAGGAGGGCAACCAAAATGGTCAAAGGCCTGGAAACGATGCCTTATGAGGAACGGCTAAGGGAGCTGGGCAAGTTTAGCCTGGAGAAGAGGAGGTTAAGGGGTGATATGATAGCCATGTTCAAATATATAAAAGGATGTCGCATAGAGGAGGGAGAAAGGTTGTTTTCTGCTGCTCCAGAGAAGCGGACACGGAGCAATGGATCCAAACTACAAGAAAGAAGATTCCACCTAAACATTAGGAAGAACTTCCTGACAGTAAGAGCTGTTTGACAGTGGAATTTGCTGCCAAGGAGTGTGGTGGAGTCTCCTTCTTTGGAGGTCTTTAAGCAGAGGCTTGACAACCATATGTCAGGAGTGCTCTGATGGTGTTTCCTGCTTGGCAGGGGGTTGGACTCGATGGCCCTTGTGGTCTCTTCCAACTCTATGATTCTATGATTCTATGATTCTAATTAAAGCTAAAGGTTACCAAAGTCAGTATTAATTGACATGGTGAAAATTTCTGTACATCTCCTTTTTTCCATGTGTTTCACATTTCTTTTTTATGACTGCTGTTCTAATAAATACTCCTTCATAAAAGTTATTGCACTGCATTCTTCATTAAATTATCTTTCCTCCCCCAAAAAGTGGTGTTATGAGCCATCAAACCTCGGAAACACACTTTTTAAAAAGTTTCCACGATTTTAGCCACTAGTATAAGTTGTTCATTTAAAGTTAATGTATTTTTTATATGGGATCAGATGGTTATTATTAATGTTTCATGTGTATGTATGTGTTGGAAGCCATCCAGAGTGGATGGGGCAACCCAGTCAGATGGGCAGGGATAAATAAAAATTATTACTATTATTATCACTGCTAGTGCTCCCTGAGATTCAATAAGCCTGTCTCTTCTCTGGGACGGATTTTGTTTGGCCCAGTCATGGCATCCCCTCCATCGCCAATGTCAGTCGTCTCTCTGGTCAACCCAAGACTGACAGCAGCAAAATCAAAAACAGAAAACCTGACAGAAGCTACTTATCTTTCCTAACAACTCTGAAGGTGACATTTAAGATGCCTGGGCAGTTCAGATCAGCCGAATCATGGTATAAAAAGGCAGAACTGGAGGAAGATTTTTGACAGAAAAAACTGTAATTTACTATTTCTTGTGAGGGTGTTAGGTTCCCAGGCGTTATAGGGGGCGCTGCTGAGCTCTGTGGAAATGTATGAGGTTTGTTACATAGAGGTATTTTTTGAATTTCCAGGCAGATAGGACGATCCCACACGGAGGCTTACCAAGAGAGGCCACGATCCCACGATTCTCCTCCATGACGTCCTTATGCAGAGCTCTCTGGTCAGGATCCAGCAACGCCCACTCCTCGTCCGTGAAACGAACAGCAACATCTTCAAAGCACACTGGACCCTGAAAGAAAAAGGAAATGTCCTCCTCTGAGACAGCAGAAATATGATCTGCTACACAATGCTCTGTTGTTTCCTTCCTGTTAATTGCTGCGTATATATATATATATATATATATATATATATATATATATATATATAAAATTTTAACTAATAAATTATAAAATGTACCACAAAACTTATCACTTATACAATCTTTTTAGACTTCCATCAGCACCTCTGATGATCCACCATTTTAACCACTTCTTATGCATTTCTTAACTTTATATTGCCTTTACATCTCTTAACAAATCATCCTCCCCCTTGTCCATTTTTCCCATACTTCTAATAATACTCCTCACAAAACTTCTTGCAACCCTACAAACGTCGTCTGTTCTTCACAATTACTTTTCAGTTTACTCCAGTCTTCCGTGAATTTCTGGTCTCGCCGGTTTTGAATCCTTCCTGTTAGTTTATCTAATTCTGCTGTGTTATTTCAATAGGATTGCTTTGCTGCACATTTTAATTATGGGTACCGTATTTTTCGGACCATAGGACGCACTTTTTCCCCTCCAAAAATGAAGGGGAAATGTGTGTGCGTCCTATGGAGCGAATGCAGACTCCTCGGCTTCAGCGATAGCAATGCGAAGCCTCCGAAGCCTGCGCTCCGGAGGCTTCGCGTTGCTTCCGCTGAAGCCAGGAGAGTCTGCTCTTTGAGGCTGGCGGTGGGGAAAGCAGCGCTTCCCCATCGCCAGCCCCAGAGGATGGGGGCAGCGAGAAGGCGCGCGACGCCTTGCAGCTACCCTCCAGCCCGGCCGAGGCTGGCGGTGGGGAAGCAGCGCTTCCCCATCGCCAGCCCCAGAGGATGGGGGCAGCGGGAAGGCGCGCGACGCCTGCCGCTACCCTCCAACCCGGCCGAGGCTGGCGGTGGGAAGCAGCGCTTCCCCATCGCCAGCCCCAGAGGATGGGGGGCAGCGGGAAGGCGCGCGACGCCTTGCCGCTACCCTCCAACCCGGCTTCGAGGCTGGCGGTGGGGAAAGCAGCGCTTCCCCCATCGCCAGCCCCAGAGGATGGGGGGCAGCGGGAAGGCGCGCGACGCCTTGCCGCTACCCTCCAACCCGGCTTCGAGGCTGGCGGTGGGGACCGCAGCGCTTCCCACATCTCCACCCCCAGAGGATGGCTCGCAGCGGGAAGGCGCGCGACGCCTTGCCGCTACCCTCCAACCCGGCTCGAGGCTGGCGGTGGGGAAGCAGCGCTTCCCCATCGCCAGCCCCAGAGGATGGGGGCAGCGGGAAGGCGCGCGACGCCTTGCCGCTACCCTCCAACCCGGCTCGAGGCTGGCGGTGGGGAAGCAGCGCTTCCCCATCGCCAGCCCCAGAGGATGGGGGCAGCGGGAAGGCGCGCGACGCCCTGCCGCTACCCTCCAACCCGGCTACGAGGCTGGCGGTGGGGAAAGCAGCGCTTCCCCCATCGCCAGCCTCAGAGGTTGGGGTGCAGCGGGTTGGGGCGCGACGCCTTGCCGCTACCCTCCAACCCGGCCGAGGCTGGCGGTGGGGGAAAGCAGCGCTCCCCATCGCCAGCCCCAGAGGATGGGGGGCAGCAGGAAGGCGCGCGACGCCCTCCCGCTACTCTCCAACCCTCCTTTGGGCTTTTGCGGGAGATGGGGGAATTCCCCCACCTCCCGCAAAAGCAGGCAAAAGCCGCGCGCTCTTTAAAGGGGCTCCGCGGCTTTTCTAGGAGGTGGGGGAATTCCCCCACCTCCTAGAAAAGCCCGCAGGAGCCGCACACCCTTTAAAGAACGAGCGGCTCTTGGGGCTTTTCCCAAGGAGGGAGAAGGGACTGACTCGGCCAGTCAGTCCCTTCTCCCTCCTGTGGGCTTTTGGGGAGATGGGGGAATTCCCCCACGTCCCGCACAAGCCCGCAAAAGCCTCGTGCTCTTTAAAGGATCTCCGCGGCTTCTGCTGGCTTTTCTACGAGGGGGGGAATTCCCCCACCTCCCGCAAAAGCCTCGTGCTCTTTAAAGGGGCTCCGCGGCTTCTGCGGGCTTTTCTACGAGGGGGGGAATTCCCCCACCTCCTAGAAAAGCCTGCAGGAGCCGCGCACCCTTTAAAGAGCGCGCCGCTCTTGGGGGCTTTTCCCCGAGGAGGGAGAAGGGACTGACTGGCCGTTTCAGTCCCTTCTCCCTCCTGGTCGAAAAGCCCGCAGGAGTCGCGCGGGGCTCCTGTGGGCTTTTGCGGGAGGTGGGGGAATTCCGCCACCTCCCGCAAAAGCAGGGAGAAGGTCTTGGAGTAGCGGACAGGCTGCGTGCAGCCTGTCCGCTGCTCCCAGAGCTGCGGGGGGGAAATCATATTTTTTTCCTTGATTTCCCCCCCTGAAAACTAGGTGCGTCCTATGGGCCGGTGCGTCCTATAGTCCGAAAAATACGGTACCTATTTTAACGCTTTAATTGAATTCTTTTATTCTGCATTTTAACTATGGGTATTCGTCTTTTTGCAAATAGGTGGTACTCCAGCTTATGTTTTTTTTAAAAAAATAATATTTATTAAGAGTTTAAAAGTTACACACACAAAAAAGAAACAAAGCAAAGAAGCAAAAAGAAACAAAAAACAACACAATACAATGCAAGACAAATAAAACAAAACAAAGACCATTTTAAACAATTTCAATGTCATATCTTTCATTCGCTTATTTCCACGACTTCCTCACACCTCCCTTTTTGTATTCCACATCAATTAATTATTTCAGCAATTCCTTTCCATCTTCCTCTGTTTTCTATCCTATAATTATCTTAACACATTCTAACCTTATTTTATTCCCTTTAATGCTCAATTAATCTATTTATACTTAATTCCTTATAACATTATAACATTTCTGCTAAAGCCATATAACTTCATTCCCACTTTGTTCTAACATTCATTAATTTTGCAATATTTCTATAAATAGTCTTTAAACTTCCAGTCTTCTTCCACCAGCTCTTCTCCCTGGTCTCGGATTCTGCCGATTCTCTCAGCCAGCAAAAAGCAGATGATTCACAACAAAATTTAGGGGTCTGGCAGGGCAAGTCCACCTCCTTCTTTAGCATCCGTTAATATCTTAAATTTTACTCGAGGCTTCCTGCCCTGCCATACAGATCTAGAAACATCCCTCTGCCACCTCCTGAAACAATCCCTCCCATCCAAAACTTGCAATGTTTGAAACAAAAGCAACATCCCCTACCTCACCGCAACCCTCGTCCCCACCACAGCAACTCGGCCCAACAATAGCAGCTTCCAATTTAGCCCTATTTCCAAATCCCCCTTCTCTTCAAGCCAACGTCCTTCACAGTTGCCCTTGAATAAATTCACATTTCTGACGGTCATACTAACCCCGCAATACCTCTCTTTCTCAACCAATGTTAGTCCTATCTCCTCCTGAAACTCTATCAAGGTTTCCTTTTCCTCGGGTAGGGCTCTGATCCTCAATTTCATCTGTTTCTCTTTAAGTTCAGTCATATCAGGTGTCAGCTCGTATTCATCAAATCGTCCTTGTATGGATGGGACTCTCTCTCTCCAGTTGAATTACTTTGACTTCAGCAGCGAGGGTTTTCTCCTTAACTTCATCCGCAGTTTGCCGTATCAGGATAGATTCCTGTATCAATTTCTGGGTGGTTTCTGGATTAATATTCACCTTTTGTCCCAGGTTATTTAGACTTTCTACCATTAAATCATTTTTAATATTTGCAGCATCCACTTTCATATTTATCACATCCATTTTCTTATGAAGCTGTTCCAGCGAATCATTTATTTTCACTAGTACAATCACTAAGGCCTCTTCTGGCGACATTCCGTCTTTCGCATCTGCCATAACACTCAATAGATTCAAGGTCAACTCACAATCTCACGGTTTTTATCTTACAACTGAAAATTTCCCAGCCCAGATCTTATGTAGCCGCCAGTTTCAAGAACTTCCACTAGAGGGAAACAGTTTCTATTTGTATTGATAAGTAATATCCTCTTAAAGCACAGTTCAAACGACCCAAAACTAATTTCAATTTTCAGTTACTTTCACTGCTGGAAACAGTAGAAACAATGTATCTTCTCTTATGCTAGCTGTCAACACGCTCCAAGAACTGTCAATAAACGTCTCACCAAAACGTTGGACCTTCTAGCAGCCCGTTCCCAGGGTCCAAGCGGCAGTGTTTTACCTCTCTTGGTCTCTTCCGCAGGCAAACTCAGTTGACAACTTCCCTCTCCCCTCTTCTCCTGCCTCCAAGGGGGGGGGGATTATTTTCTTTACTTATGGAAATTTAGTCTTTTGCAAAAGGCTTTCCAAGACTTCAGCTTGCAGCCTCAGTTGCTTCAGTCTATTTACAAAAGGGGAAGGCGGACTTCCTGTATTGAACCTTCCCCGTTTCGATGCCAAATTAGACCTTTTTTTTTAACAAATCCAATTTTCCCAATTAAGCTCTACTCACGGGTAGTTACTTTAGAGTCAAATTGTCCACAGGAAAAAGTCAGCGCTCTCCGACAAGAGCTATGCGGCTTCGCTCCGTGGAAGAAGCAGATGATTCGAAGCACCGCACTGCTCACCCCACGTCGCTCCGGATCCCCGAAACCGGGTTTCCCCACGAGTGGGGGAGGCGCAAAGGGTGCCCGCCAAATCCCACGCTCACAGGCTTCTCCCGCCTGTGATTTTTAACGCGTCTCCGCCTTCGCCGTGGCGGCCAGACCCAGATTTCCACGGAGCTGATTCCTCCCGATCAGAGGAATCCAGCCATTGCCGGAGGCGCCTCCCCGGAAGTCGGTACTCCAGCTTATGTTTACGTTATTCTGCCTACACAAGCATTCCACTTTCCCCTCTCCTCGTGTGCTGTTCTGGGGAGGTTCCCTCCCAGTGCCCTAGAGCCAAATTCAAGGGGTTCATGGGGGCTTGGAGAGGGGGAGGAGTGGGGGGCAGGCTATATTTCGCATCAGATGGGGCTGGCTAGGAGAATCCTGGCCTCTATTTGTTCTCATCTATCCACCGCTTAGAAGCCTATTTTAGCACTCAGTGATCAATCCAGAAATACAATAAGCCTAGTTAGGATGGCCATCTGTCTTGGATGATCTAGCTGAGACTCCTGCAGTGCAGGGGGTTGGACTTGATGACTCTTGGGGTCCCTTTCAACTCTAGGATTCCATGAAAACTGCAACTACAGATGAATCCTACAGGTGACATTCAGAAGGCTGGTGTCACAGAGTTATCTGGGCAGGAAATCCCACACTTCACAGCTGGAGTTAACTCTTTATCAGCAAGAACACGATATTCACAGACTTGGCTGAGTTTCAGGCCTAATGAGAAGAGCAGCTCATTCCCGGAGGGTCTGTCACTTTGCATTTCTTAGTGCAGAAAGTATGGCTCTGATATTGATATTTCCTATAAAGGAGTATGACAAGGCTGTATATTGTCTCCCTGCTTATTTAACTTATATGCAGAATTCATCATGCGAAAGGCTGGACTGGATGAATCCCTAGCTGGAATTAAGATTGCCGGAAGAAATATCAACAACCTCAGATATGCAGATGACACAACACTGATGGCAGAAGGTGAGGAGGAATTAAAGAACCTTTCAATGAGGGTGAAAGAGGAGAGCGCAAAATATGGTTTGAAGCTCAACATCAAAAAACGAAGATCATGGCCACTGGTCCCATCATCTCCTGGCAAATAGAAGGGGAAGAAATGGAGGCAGTGAGAGATTTTACTTTCTTGGGCTCCATGATCACTGCAGATGGTGACAGCAGTCACAAAATTAAAAGGCGCCTGCTTCTTGGGAGAAAAGCAATGACAAACCTAGACAGCATCTTAAAAAGTAGAGACATCACCTTGCCAACTGTCAGGGAACTGCCATCGGAGCTAGAGGCGGAGGGAAGGCTCCAGAGGGATGCAGGAGAGGGCCCCAGTAGGGAGAGAGGCAGCCCATCTGCTGGGGAAGGAAATCAGTGTAACACCAGTGGAGAAGGGGGGCAGATGGGGGAATCGGAGAGGAGGCTCCAAGACTCCTCGCCGGAGACCAGCGGAGAGAGTACGGGTACTCCGCTGCCCACACCCTCCCTGCGCAGAAGACTTCCGCGCAGGGAGAGTAGGAGGAGACTTGGCGTCAAACAACTTTTATGCTGGAAAAGGTTCAAGAAACGCCCACTGACGGATTCTGCCAGCGACTGAGACAGTCACGATGCTGGAGGCTGTTCAGTCAGAAAGGGTTTAACCAGGTAACCTCGCCAGCAGTGGCGGCAAATTACGCACGAGCAACCCCTAAATCCATTACACCAACAAAGGTCCGTATAGTAAAAGCCATGGTTTTCCCAGTAGTGATGTATGGTAGTGAGAGCTGGACCATAAAGAAGGCTGATCGCCGAAGAATTGATGCTTTTGAATTCTGGTGCTGGAGGAGGCTCTTGAGAGTCCCATGGACTGCAAGAAGATCAAACCTATCCATTCTTAAGGAAATCAGCCCTGAGTGCTCACTGGAAGGACAGATCCTGAAGCTGAGGCTCCAATACTTTGGCCACCTCATGGGAAGAGAAGACTCCCTGGAAAAGACCCTGATGCTGGGAAAGATGGAAGGCACAAGGAGAAGGGGACGACAGAGGACGAGATGGTGGGACAGTGTTCTCGAAGCTACCAGCATGAGTTTGACCATACTGCGGGAGGCAGTGGAAGACAGAAGTGCCTGGCGTGCTCTGGTCCATGGGGTCACGAAGAGTCGGACACGACTACAGTGGTGCCTCGCAAGACGAAATTAATCCGTTCCGCGAGTCTCTTTGTCTTGCGGTTTTTTCGTCTTGCGAAGCACGGCTATTAGCGGCTTAGCGGCTATTAACGGCTTAGCGGCTATTAACGGCTTAGCGGCTTTAAGGAAAAGGAAACAAACTCGCAAGAACTCGCAAGACGTTTCGTCTTGCGAAGCAAGCCCATAGGGAAATTCGTCTTGCGGAACGACTCAAAAAATGGAAAACTCTTTCGTCTAGCGAGTTTTTCGTCTTGCGAAGCATTCGTCTTACGGGGCACCACTGTAAATGACTAAACAACAACAACAATGCTAATTAATTCAAGAGGGTTCCGGAAGCTTCTCTGCGTAAAAGAAACAAGCAGAAGGTTCCTGATCTTTCCGTTACTCCTTCAGAGAAGCTGAGTACAGCTGGGTTAAAGTGGTTCTGTCATCTCTTCTGTCAAGGTCATGCTGAATATAAGAAGAGGCCAGAAGGAGCCCGGGTTTCACTTTCTCGTTCTATCTCTCTTCCTTCTGGTGTTCTGTACATAGTATGCTGAGTCTTAAGGTTTAAACTTATAATAAGTTGTGGGAAATTTCAGTTAAGTCTGCAACTGGATTTCTTATGGACAGGGCCAATCCTGAACATTTTAGATTTGTGAACAGATTATGCTCATTTGCCTTCAATAGCAGTAAAACTCCGCTGGATGAAATACAATTGCCTCTGGTCTATTTTGGGGAATCCTGCAACGTCTTTACAATTTCACTCTGCTAACTATACATTGGAGTTCTGCTCTGGATCAATACTGAGTCGAATTCCATGTCAGGGTCTTCCCCCACAAAAGCAGTTGCCAAGAGTGAAGTCCCCCGATTCCCCAGCTTTCCAAGCCCCCTCCTCTCTGAGGTTTCTGGCAAGCGATTGAACAGTGCGTCAGTGTGCAGCCTGCCTTTGCTCCTCCATTGTCAGACAACTCCTGGCTCAGAGAGACAAGCAGGGAGGGTGGCTTCTGGCATAAGGAGAGGGAGCCCCCAGTGGCTCCTCCTTCTCCTGACTCAGCTCTGACTCTCGACCTTCCTCCTCCCACTCGCCTCCTTCCTCTTCTGCCTCCGATTCTGGACTGCATTCTGCCTCAAAGCCTCCCAGCTCACTAAGCCCTGTTACCCCTTCAGCCTCTGACACCTCCTCTTCCCAGGTTTCTCCATCTGACCACTCATCCTTCCTCCACCTTCACTCCTTGGGCTCTGAGATGTCTTCCTTTCCTGGTTCCCTGGCTGCTTCCTCCCACCATTCCTCTGTGCCCAACCAGTCCATGACATTGCTCCATCCCTCAGCCTCTGTCCCCACAAGGCAGCTTCCCCTGACCTGATCTGGTTCCACAGCCGCTGTTTCTCTTCTGCCCCCATGAAAAGATGGATCAGGAGGTTTTGCCAGCATCCTTCTGTCACCTGCAAGAGAAAAAACGTAAGCAGGATGCAAGGAATGCCCACGTCTCTCACAGGTGAAACAGGGCATCTCTAACGACATATGGGCCTTTCAGAAAGCCTTACCTGCTGAGTGCAGTTGGACGTTTGTGCCCATTTCATATGTTAGTTGTACAAAATTACTACTCCCTTCCTTTGGACCCTTGTTCCCAACTGTCCTCCCCCCCCCCCCAAAAAGAACTCACAGATTAGTTGGAAAACCAACAGAACAAGACCAAACGGAGAAAAGCCACCTTCCTCCTTACCCAGTGGCCTCTCTCTGGTGTCCAACGGAGGCCTCTCTGCCTCACAGGAATCCAGGTCCATTTCTGCAAAATGATCCGTTTTCTGAAAGAGCAACAAGGATTCAAAACAGAGAATGAATGGCGAGAAATGTTAGAAAGAGAATGACAGAGACAGAATCTTTAAGGGTGTTAGATCTCATTCCATGGATGCCTTGCAGAAAAAGAATGGGCCATCAGCAGACCATTATGGGATGTTTTCTGACCTGTTTGGATCCCCTTGGGAGTATCCAGAGGAAAGTCTCTCTCACCTGCTTTCTCTCCTCTGCCTGACTCAGGAGGAAACCTTCGGCCAGGGCCACCGCCTGCGAACTGGTCTCCGCTCCACAGTCCCTCACCCAGCTCTCCATCTCCAGAGGAAGGACAGCCAGGAACTGCTCCAAGATCACCAGGTCCAGCATCTCAGCTTTCGTGTGCCTTTCTGGCTTCAGCCATTGGTGGCAAAAGTGGTAGAGTCGGCTGCAAACTTCTCGGGGTCCTTTGGCCTCCTGGCAGCAGAACTGCCTCAACTGCTGGCTCTGCAGCTCTGAGCGGAGGGTGTCCTCCTCACCCAGGATCTTCTGCACAGAGTTTTCCCAGAATCCCCCACTGCTCCCAGTTTGGATGGCATGGCCTCTTCCTGCTCCAGGACTAGCTGAGTCTTGCTCATCCATCTGTGCTCTCAGGAAGTCTCTAAGAGATTGGAAGGAACCCTTTGGTCTTCTGCCAAGTTCTGCCTGTGCTAATGAGGTGCTAGCAAATCCTACAAAGCAAATACATTGTTTAGTTACAGAATTTTTAGGTCATAAGAAGAGAAATGTTCCTTGAGCAAGCACGGATGAGTCTTCCTAGGAACCAGGGTGGGACTGTACCAAACCATGAGATATCTTCTGAAGAAGAAGACGGAGGAGGAGGAGGAGGAAGAAGAAGAAGAAGGAGAAGAGGAGGAGGAGGAAGCAGACTCTAGCCCTCCTAGAAGGAAGATTGCAATGCAAAACGTGGAGGCAACTGAAGGGATTTCTCTGAGGTGAATCAGTCTAGTTGCTCCTGCCTTCGAGTAAATGCATGAAGTTAGAACTGACTGACAAGGGAATAATTTGTGTCTTGTGGAAAATGGATACTTGGCTCTAGTGGGGGTCCTCATCCGGGGGTCCTCAGGAGTTGCTCCCCCCCACCCCCACTCCCCTGCTTCTGTCTCCTTTTCTTGCACTTGGTCTCTCTGCCACTCTCCAGACAGACTCCTGGGGTGGGGTCCCTTTTTCTTTGCTCTGAGGGCCAGGAATGTATCTGGACATTATTATTCTCTTAGATGGCTGAACACACGCACAGCCATTGATGCCCAGGTCCCTGGAGGCTCAGTGAGTAGCAGCGCCCATTTCCGGCTGCTTTGACAGCAACAACCCCTTTGGGACAGAGAGGATGTGGTCCTGGGATGCCCTGCTCTGGGTGCGAGGGGATGCTGCAGTGGCCTCTGTGGGGAGCTGCCCTGGGAGACACTGGGAAACTGGTCCCCAATGCAGCAGCCAGACTGTGGGCTGGGATCCCTCTCTTTACTCCTCTCCTTTCTCTCCCACCTTTTCTTTCTCCTTCCCTGTGGGGTTTTCTTTGGGGGGGGGGCTAGTCCAGCTCCTCGTCCAGCTTTGGAAAACCATTTGCACATGTTCCCTCTGTTGTGCACTGATGCTGACAGACGTCACAGAGAGTCAAAGTTCTAGGGACTCCTTTGTTTAAAGAAATGAGATTTCGTGGGAGTCATTGTTTTTCTGAAGGGGGGGCGGAAGGCCAAATGAGTTTGGGACCCTCTGATCTGCAGGAAGGAGAGCGTGGCAGACCTGGCCCCTCCCTGGCAGGACCCTCTCCTCCCTGACTTGGGGTCCCCCCAGCCCCCTCCCCTGCTGCAGCCCTGGGACCCCCACCAGATCCCAGAGAGAGAGGAGACTCACCAGATCCCAGGAGAGACATCGATGCAGGAAAGGACTGGGGAGGGAGGGGCCTTGGCTCGGGAGGACCTGGCCCCCCCTTGCTTCCTGTCCTCTCTAGGAAGGCAGCTCGGTTCCCTTTAACCCTTGCAAAGCCGAGTCCGCCCAGCTCAGCCCTCTCTCGCCTTTCTGAACCTCAGCTCTTTATTATTTTGAATGGCTCTAAGGGGGCAGCTTCCCCCTGGCTCTGCCTATGGCAAGGGATCCTTTTTGGGGGGGGCCTTTGGCTCTTGGCTGGGCTCTGAGCATCTCCCTCGGTCCCTTTTTTGGGGGCCTTTGGCTCTTGGCTGGGCTCTGAGCATCTCCTCGGTCCCTTTGGGGGCCTTTGGCTCTTGGCTGGGCTCTGAGCATCTCCCTCGGTCCCTTTGGGGGCCTTTGGCTCTTGGCTGGGCTCTGAGCATCTCCCTCGGTCCCTTTGGGGGCCTTTGGCTCTTGGCTGGGCTCTGAGCATCTCCCTCGGTCCCTTTGGGGGCCTTTGGCTCTTGGCTGGGCTCTGAGCATCTCCCTCGGTCCCTTTGGGGGCCTATGGCTCTTGGCTGGGCTCTGAGCATCTCCCTCGGTCCCTTTGGGGGGGCCTTTGGCTCTTGGCTGGGCTCTGAGCATCTCCCTCGGTCCCTTTGGGGGGGGCCTTTGGCTCTTGGCTGGGCTCTGAGCATCTCCCTCGGTCCCTTTGGGGGGGGCCTTTGGCTCTTGGCTGGGCTCTGAGCATCTCCCTCAGTCCCTTTGGGGGGGCCTTTGGCTCTTGGCTGGGCTCTGAGCATCTCCCTCGGTCCCGTTGGGGGGGGCCTATGGCTCGTGGCTGGGCTCTGAGCATCTCCCTCGGTCCCTTTGGGGGCCTTTGGCTCTTGGCTGGGCTCTGAGCATCTCCCTCGGTCCCTTTGGGGGCCTTTGGCTCTTGGCTGGGTTCTTAGCATCTCCCTCGGTCCCTTTGGGGGCCTTTGGCTCTTGGCTGGGCTCTGAGCATCTCCTCGGTCCCTTTGGGGGGGCCTTTGGCTCTTGGCTGGGCTCTGAGCATCTCCCTCGGTCCCTTTTTGGGGGGGGCATTGGCTCTTGGCTGGGCTCTGAGCATCTCCCTCGGTCCCTTTGGGGGGGGGGCTTTGGCTCTTGGGTGGGCTCTGAGCATCTCCCTCGGTCCCTTTGGGGGGGCCTTGGGCTCTTGGCTGGGCTCTGAGCATCTCCCTCGGTCCCTATGGGGGGGGGATTTGGCTCTTGGCTGGGCTCTGAGCATCTCCTCGGTCCCTTTGGGGGCCTTTGGCTCTTGGCTGGGCTCTGAGCATCTCCTCGGTCCCTTGGGGGCCTTTGGCTCTTGGCGGGGCTCTGAGCATCTCCCTCGGTCCCGTTGTGGGGGCCTTTGGCTCTTGGCTGGGCTCTGAGCATCTCCCTCGGTCCCTTTGGGGGGGCCTTTGGCTCCTGGCTGGGCTCTGAGCATCTCCTCGGTCCCTTTGGGGGCCTTTGGCTCTTGGCTGGGCTCTGAGCATCTCCCTCGGTCCCTTTGGGGGCCTTTGGCTCTTGGCTGGGCTCTGAGCATCTCCTCGGTCCCTTTGGGGGCCTTTGGCTCTTGGCTGGGCTCTGAGCATCTCCTCGGTCCCTTTGGGGGCCTGTGGCTCTGGGGTGGGCTCTGAGCATCTCCCTCGGTCCCTTTGGGGGGGCCTTTGGCTCTTGGCTGGGCTCTGAGCATCTCCCTCAGTCCCTTTGGGGGGGCCTTTGGCTCTTGGCTGGGCTCTGAGCATCTCCCTCGGTCCCTTTGGGGGGGGCCTTTGGCTCTTGGCTGGGCTCTGAGCATCTCCCTCGGTCCCTTTGGGGGCCTTTGGCTCTTGGCTGGGCTCTGAGCATCTCCCACGAAGCGGAGGAGCAGCAGAGTCCAGGCTGGAGCGCAGCGGGAGAGACGCCGACGCCGCTCTGGCTGGGGAGAGAGAGCCTGCAGCCAGTGGAAGAAGCCAGCCTGGGAGAGCTGTTCTCTGGGGAAGGAGAGTGGGAAGCAGGGGGAAGCCACTCTCTTCCCGGCTCGGACCTGGAGGCGTCTCCGAGGGGGGGACTGGCTCTCTGGGTCCTGCTTGGGGGGTTCCTGGTCTCCCTCTCCTGAGGGCAACAATCTGGCCCTGAGACACACAAGTTCTTCCTTCAGTTACACTCACTTTGTGGTTGCCTCATTTCAGGGGGCCCAACTGCTCTTAGATGTTCCTCAAGGCAGCCGGTCCTGAGTTCTAGCACTGCTGAAACAGTCACAATGGCCGCCAAGGAGGAACCAAGCGATGTTCAAAATAAATAAATCATATTCTCACCATGAATGAGCAAAACTTTCTTCTGCATGATGCTATGCAAACATACAATAGTATACTATTTCCCCTTCCAGAAATGCTGAATTGCTGATTCAATGGACAAAAATGCATGGCGGTTGTTATTATTATTTATTAAGTTGATATACCACCTTCATCAAGAGATCTCTTTAAAAAAATAAATATATTTATTACTTTTCCAACAACTTAAACTACAAAAACAATACAATACAATACAATACAATACAAAAACACTACATAACACTAACACATTAAACTAACAAAACAAAACAAAAACAGTTAAACACATCAAACAATTTCAATATCTTATCTTTCATTCACTTATTTCAATGACCTCCTCACACCTCCATTTTTGTATTCCACTTCTGTTAATTGTTTCAGCAATTCCTTTCCATCTTCCTCTGTTTTCTATCCTATAATTATCTTAACACATTTTAACCTTATTTTTCCCTTTAATTCTCTATTAATCTATTTATACTTAATTCCTTATAACATTTCTACTAAAGCCATATAACTTCATTCCAACATTTTTCTAACATTCATTAATTTTACAGTATTTCTGTAAATAGTCTTTAAACTTTTTCCAGTCTTCTTCCACCGACTCTTCTCCCTGGTCTCGGATTCTGCCAGTCATTTCCGGCAGTTCCATATAGTCCATCACCTTCATCTGCCATTCTTCCAGGGTGGGTAAATCTTGTGTCTTCCAATACTTCGTGATGAGTATTCTTGCTGCTGTTGTGGCATACATAAAGAAAGTTCTATCCTTCTTTAACACCAACTGGCCAACCATGCCCAGGAGAAAGGCCTCTGGTTTCTTCAGAAAGGTATATTTAAATACCTTTTTCATTACATTATAAATCATCTCCCAGAATGTCTTAATCCTTGGGCATGTCCACCAAAGGTGAAAGAATGTACCTTCAGTCTCATTACATTTCCAATATTTATTGTCGGGCAAATGGTAAATTTTTGCAAGCTTGACTGGTGTCATGTACCACCTATAAATCATTTTCATTAAATTTTCTCTTAGGGCATTACATGCTGTGAATTTCATACCTGTGGTATCAAGAGATCTCAGGGACTTTTAAAACATAGAACACATGAGAAGTAGACCAATGATGCATCACCTCAAATTCTTTACTCAGGTGAGTGCCCTCCTTTTGAAGGAGGCAGGTGGAATCTCCATGGTTGCTGCTACTCCTGCCCTGGGTGCTGGAAGGAAGACCTGAGAGCCAGTGTGGTGTAGTGGTTAAGAGCGGTAGTCTCGTAATCTGGTGAACCGGGTTCGCATCTCCGCTCCTCCACCTGCAGCTGCTGGGTGACCTTGGGCCAGTCACACTTCTTTGAAGTCTCTCAGCCCCACTCACCTCACAGAGTGTTTGTTGTGGAGGAGGAAGGGAACGGAGAATGTTAGCCACTTTGAGACTCCTTAAAGGGAGTGAAAGGTGGGATATCAAATCCAAACTACTCCTCCTCCTCTTCTTCTTCTTCTTTTCCATCTGACTTATGAGGTTATTGATTTCATCTTTGAGACTTCTTAGGGTAGTGATAAAGTGGGATATCAAATCCAAACTACTCCTCCTCCTCCTCCTCCTCCTCCTCCTCCTGTTCTTCTCCTTGCAAGGCCTTTTCCCACCTGGCCTGGAGGGTGAGGACCAGACTCCCCCTTCTCAACAGTTGTTGTGTGTTGTTTAAATTAGTTTCTACTGACTTATTGGGTTATTGTATAGTTTGCATTTGATTCTTTTTTTAAAAAAAAAAATAATATTTATTAATTTTCAACCATTTAAACACAACAAAACAGAAAGACAAAAAAAAGAACAAAAAAAGAAAAACATAAAACTAACAAAGCATGACACAAACCATTTCAAACACAGAACAATTTCAATGTCTTATCTTTCATTCCCTTATTTCCACGACCTCCTCACACCTCCCTTTCTGTTTTCCACTTCTATTAATTATTTCAGCAATTCCTTTCCATCTTCCTCTGTTTTCTATCCTATAATTATCTTGATGTATTCTAGCCTTATTTTCCCTTAAAGATGTTGGCTTTTTGCAGTATGGTAGCGCTGCAGAGAGCTTGCTGGGGAGACCATGCATTAAAAAGGGACTCAAAAATAACTTAAACAAGGTTTTAATAAGAAAAACAAAAACTCCTTTTACACTAAATACATTAACAAACAAACATGACCCAACCACCAACCCATCCCCCAGGGTAATGGGAGAGCTAGGTGCTGCTCCTTATATACTACACCCAATTGCCAACACAGCTTAATCAGTACAACTCGGCAGCACCTGCTATGTTTCACAGCTGTAAAGCTGGGTCTCGTTATCTTGCTCTGGCCCTTGCTCTGGCCCCTTAAAGACATACACATCGAGTGGAACAATGATGAACCTTTACATATTAGAAACCATTCAACATTTCCCCTGCGGTTCATCATTGTGGAACAAAAACATAAAGCATACTTTGTACATGTTTTTCATGTGTAACCTTTGGAAGTGCATTTATAAAAATGTCCGCAATTTGATTGTCACCTGGAACATATTCAAATACAACCATTTCATCAGCAATTAGTTTCTTTACAAACTGCAAACGTAATCTTAAGACTCTAGTGCGCTGCGTATTGGTTTCTGAACATAGGATAGCGAGTCCACTCTGGGAATCAAGGTAAACTTTCACTGGTAGTGTTACTTGCATCTGTAGGT